GAACCTTTTATCATTATATAATGTTCTTCTTTGTCTTTTATGACAATTTTTGGCTTAAAGTCAGTTTTTTCTGATATAAGTAGGGCTGGTCTGGCTCTTTTTTGGTTACCATTTGCCTGTGTTAACAAAAGATCAATGAGTTCTGTGGAGGAAAAGGGGGAGCTTTATTTTATAAAAGCAATCTGCAGATTAGAGAGATGCAGCTTTCAGTGCAAAATCAAAGGGTGATCTGAGGTCAGGGTTGGAAAGTTAGAGTTTACAAAGGCCAAAAACACAGGTCAGGGGAGGGGAATCAAGGGAGTGGGGAACCGAGTCTTGATTAAATGATCTTTAAGCCCCATTTCACCAGTCTGTCTTAATTAGCTGGTTCCAGGTGGTCAGTGGGGAGGCAACAGGTGGTCTGTTGGGGTCAGCTGAGGAATTTCTAACTGCAGTTATTTTCAGGAATTGTTCTTTGACTTCGTTGTGGAAAAACCAGTTTTATGCTGCTTTCCAAGGACACAGAGAGCGTGACCATTTCTTCGCCCTGCCATATAACTCTTGGTTCTGCTTTTAAATTTTCAATCACAGGGAGTCCATCTTGTCTGTTAAGTGGGGGCATAATGTGACACATGGAATATCTTCTTCTATCCTTTAATGTTCAGCCTATGTGTGTCCTTATACTAATGTGAATCTCCTGTAGACAGTATATAGCTGAATCTTGTTTTCTTATTCATTCAGTCACTCTATATCTTTTCATTGGGAAGTTTAATCCATTTACATCTAAAGCAATCACTGATAGGGAAGAAGTAACTATTGCTGTTTTGTTATTTTTTTCTGCATGTCTTGTAGTTATTTTGTCCTTCTTTTCCTCTCTTACCGTATTCCTTTGTTTTTAGTTGTGTGTGTTTGTTTTTGTTTTGATGGTGTGCTTTGATTCCTTTTTCATTTTCTTTGTGCATCTTCAATGCACATTTTCTTTGTGATTACCATGAAGAATTTATAAAAATATCTTATACTTTTTTTTTTTTTTTTTTTTTTAGATGGAGTCTCACTCTGTCGCCCAGGCTGGAGTACAATGGTGCGATCTCAGCTCACTGCAACTTCCACCTCTCAGTTTCAAGCAAATCTGCCTCAGCCTCCCAAGTAGCTGGGATTACAGGCGCCTGCCATCAGACCTGGCTAATTTTCATATTTTTATAGAGACGGCATTTCACCATGTTGGCCACGCTGGTTTTAAACTCCTGACTTCAGGTGATCCATTCTCCTTGTCCTCCCAAAGTGATGGGATTGCAGGCATGAGCCACTGTGGATGGCCAAAATATATTATACTTATAACAATCTATATTAAACTGACAATGACTTAATGTCAATCACACATAAAATCTCAAGTCATTTATATCTTCCCACCACTGCATGTTATCAATGTCACAAATTATGTCTTTTTTAATATTTTATATACATTAATGTAGTTTTATAGTTATAATTATTTCTATGCTTTGTCTTTTAAATTATATACCAGAATTGATTTATGCACCACCATTACAATACTACAAGATTCTGTATTTGTCTACATATTTACCTTTTCATAGAGCTTTATATTTTCACTTGCTTTTGTGTTGCTTTCTAGAGTTCTAGAGTCATTTCTTTTCAACTTATAGGACTGCCTTTATCAATTCCTTCAAAGCAGGTCTAATGATAAACTCCCTCAGTGTGTGTTTGTCTGGGAAGGGCTTTATTCTTCTTTCATTTTTGAAGGACAGACACTTTTACCAAATACAGTGTTTTTGGTGGACAGCTTTTTCTTTTCCTTTTTTCCTTTTTTTTTTTTTTTTGAGATGGAGTCTTGCTCTGTCGCCAGGTTAGAGTGCAGTGGCGCGATCTTGGCTCACTGAACCTCCATCTCCTGGGTTGAAGTGATTCTCCTGCCTCAGCCTCCCAAGTAGCTGGGACTACAGGCATGCACTACCATGCCCAGCTAATTTTTGTATTTTTAGTAGAGATGGGGTTTCACCATGTTGGCCAGAATGGTCTCAATCTCTTGACCTTGTGATCCACCCACCTCGGCCTCCCAAAGTGCTGGGATTACAGGTGCGCACCACCATGCCTGGTCTGGACAGCTTTTTCTTTCAGCATTTTGAATACATTATCCCATCCTCTTCTGGTCTGTAATGTTTCTGCTGAGAAATCTGCTGATGTTACAGAAGCTTCCTTATATGTGACCAGCGGCTTTTCTCTTGGGGTTTTCAACATTCTTTGCCGTTGACTTTTGAAAACTTGATTGTAATGTGTCTTGGTTTGGGGCTCTTTGGGTTCATCTCACTTGGAATCCTTTGAGCTTCTTGGATTTAGATGCCTATTTCCTTCCTCAGATTCATGAGTTTTCAATCATTTTATCTTCAAATAACCTCTCTGTCCTTTTCTCTCTCTTCTTCTTCTGAGACTCTCATAATGTGTATATTGTTCCATGTGATGGTATCCCATAAGTCCCTTAAGCTTTCTTTACTTTTCTTCATTCCTTTTACTTTTTGTTCCTCTAATTCAATAATTTCAAATGACCTATGTTCAAGTTTGCTAATTCGTCAGTTTCATCAACTTTATTATTGAATTCTTTTAGTGCATTTCTAAAATTCAGATCTTGTATTCTTCAGCTTCAAAATTTCTGGGGTTTTTTATTATTATTATTATTTTAGATAGAGTCTCACTCTGTCACCCAGGCTGGATGGAGTGCTGTGGCGTGATCTTGGCTCACTGCTCCGCCTACTGAGTTCACACCATTCTCCTGCCTCAGCCTCCCAAATAGCTGGGACTACAGGCACCCGCCACCACGCCTGGCTAATGTTTTTTCTTTTTTGTTTTTTTTAGTAGAGACGGGGTTTCACCGTTAACCAGAATGGTCTTGATCTCCTGACCTTGTGATCCGCCCACCTCGGCCTCCCAAAGTGCTGGGATTACAGGCATGAGCCAGTGCACCCAGTCCAGAATTTCTGTTTTTTAAATAGTTTTCCTTTGTTGATATTCTCATTGCGTTCATGCATCATTTTCCAGATTTTATTTTCTGTATTCTCTTATGGTTCATTGAGCTTCTTCAAGATGATTATTCTGAAGTATTTGTTAGGTAATTCATTGTTTGGTGTTTCTTTAAGCTTGATTTCAGGAGATTTTGTTCCTTCCATAGGACCATCTTTTCCTGTTTCCTTGTGTGCCTTGTTGTTGTTGTTATTATTATTATTATTTTGCTATGATTTGTGCACTTGAAAAAACAGCTATCTCTCCTAGTCTTTATAGACTAGCTTCATATGTGAAAGGCCTTCACCAATCAGCACAGTTAAAAATTCTGAAGGCTTCTCAAACCTTTTCTGGGGATGCATCTTCTCTGGGCTTGTGCATGTAATTTCCCAATTAGAGTGGTTTGCCACTTTGTTTGTTTGTTTGTTTCCAGGAGTTTATAATCCTGATGTCTGATCCCTCCTTCTGATGTCTGTCTGTGGTACTGCAGGTTCTCTGGCACTGCAGTAAGCCATTGAGCTCTTTTGTTCTCAGTAGCCCCTAGGGATGGAAAATACACTGGTTCTGTCAGCACTGTGAGTTAGGTGAGGAAAAAACCAGTCACTGGAACAACCTCCTGAAAAGTCATATGTTCCTTTCTTCTCTTTCCCTCCCAAGGTAGAAACTGTTAGTTGGGCTTTTTCTCCTGAGAGCACCAAGCTGTGCTGGCTTGAGGGAGGAGGGATCATTGATGAAATTAAATGGCTTTTCTTACCTGTTTCATGGACTATTCTTGACTTTGAGCTTGCCTGCTGTCCTATGACTTCTTAACTGGTTTCTGGAGTTCTCAAAAAGGCTTTTTTGATCATATATAATTAAATCACTGTCCCTATAAGGGAATGCAGTCTGAGGCTTCCTATTCCATCATCTTGCTCTGTGCTCAGCCTTTCATTTTTTTATTCAGTGTATTTGTTATTGTTTGAATATTTTTACATCCATCACATTAAAAATAATATGAAGAAAAGTATCCAAATCTAGATGTTTTAAAGATTGAAGGAAAAATATTTCATTTCCAATAAAGTATAAAAGGGCCCTTGGTTTTATTACTATAATTTATACTAAAGTACAGTAAGAATTAGCCTATATTTACATATATCACACAAACCTCCCACTATTGGGAGCATTCCCAAATTCCTGCAGCCTTAAAAAAAATGTAAAAGGGTGCTTTGTTATGGTATAAGAAATAAATTAACAACGGCTGGGCATGGTGGCTCACGCCTGTAATCCCAGCACTTTGGGAGGCCGAGGCAGGTGGATCACTTGAGGTCAGCCTGGCCTCAGGTGAAACTCCATCTGGTCAATTGAGACCAGCCTGGCCAACATGGTGAAACCCCATCTCTACTAAAAACACAAAAATTAGCCAGCATGGTGGTGGGCACCTGTAATCCCAGCTACTTGGGCAGCTGAGGCAGGAAAATCACTTGAACCCAGGAAGTAGTGGAGGTTGCAGTGGGCTGAGAGCACGCCATTGCGCTCCAGCCTGGGCAATAAGAGCGAAACTTCATCTAAAAAAAAAAAAAAAAAAAAACAAAGAAAGAGGCCAGGCGCCATAGTTCACACCTGTAATCGCAGCACTTTGGGAGGCCAAGGCGGGCAGATCACAAGGTCAGGAGATCAAGACCATGCTGGCCAACGTGGTGAAACTCTGTCTCTACTAAAAATACTATATATTTATATATGTGTGTGTGTGTGTGTATATATAGCCAGGCGTGGTGGTGGGCACTTGTAGTCCCAGCTACTCGGGAGGCTGAGGCAGGAGAATCACTTGAACCTTGGAGGCGGAGACTGCAGTGAGCCGAGATCATGCCACTGCACTTCAGCCTGGGCGACAGAGAGAGACTCCGTCTCAAAAAAAAAAAAAAAAGAAATTAATGCAAATTATGAAGCACACATTTAAGATATCCCTTATCCATATAGATAAGAATAAATATGAGATAAATTGATTAAATTGTGTTTTTTCTTTTGTGCTTTAGGCATTAGGATTTTTGTCTTCTTATGGAATAGGAATGGAATATGATCAAGCTAAGGTAAAGGTCATTCTGTTTTATTCTGGAACAAAATTGATTTCTTCAAAACAGACATTGAATAAAATCTACTCATTAATTAAAGGGGTTCACTCTAGTGTAGTAGTTGAGAGCACCAGCTTAATAGTCAAAGAAATGTAGTGTTCTTATGCTATAAGTTTCTTAAAGCCTCATAAGTCAACTTCTTCACTGAAGATAGATAATATCTGCTTCATAGGGAAATTATGATGATTAAATGAAATATCTTATACAATGCCCTTATCACAGACTCCAGAGATTAGTAAACCCCTAATAAACAGCAGCCATCTTTACAAAGGAGAGTGAAATTTGAAATTTATTTTGGAGTAGCTCAATGGGTCATTGTGGGACTAGGAATAAAAAAGGAATCGTTGGTTTGAGTTTCAAATTTAAATGGCCAACCTGGTTTGGGGGGTTTTTTGTTTGTTTGTTTTTACTTTAGGCACTGATATATTACACCTTTGGAAGTGCTGGAGGAAGCATCATGTCCCAGATGATTTTGGTTTGTAAACAGAATATTCTCGGGACCAAATTTGTATGCCATAAATACAGCATTGTCTTGAATATTAAGATGCATCTGTTGGTGTTTTAGGGGTACAGATATTTGTCAGGAATCAATGTTCTACAGAATTGTGAAGTTGCCCTAAGTTATTACAAGAAAGTGGCAGATCATAGTAAGTAATCCACATAACTTATTTAAAAATAAACAGCTGCCAAGGAATTAGAAAAATGAATCAATAACAGTTCAATTGATATAAACTTATGAAAATATCAAAAGTGTATGTTCTTAACACGTTGTAATACAATTCTTTTTTTTTTTTTTTTTTTTTTTTTTTTTTTTTTTTTTTTTTTTTGTAATACAATTCTTTTTTTTTTTTTTTTTTTTTTTTTTTTTTTTTTGAGACGGAGTCTCGCTCTGTCGCCCAGGCTGGGAGTGCAGTGGCCGGATCTCAGCTCACTGCAAGCTCCGCCTCCCAGGTTCACGCCATTCTCCTGCCTCAGCCTCCCGAGTAGCTGGGACCACAGGCGCCTGCCACCTCGCCCGGCTAGTTTTTTGTATTTTTAGTAGAGACGGGGTTTCACCATGTTAGCCAGGATGGTCTCGATCTCCTGACCTCGTGATCCGCCCGTCTCGGCCTCCCAAAGTGCTGGGATTACAGGCTTGAGCCACCGCGCCCGGCCAATACAATTCTTTTAATATAATACAGAGTTTCTGTTTCCTTAATAGCTCCTTTCCAAATAATTTTAAAAGATTATACTCAGTTTTTATTTTCGTTAATATGTATCCCCAAACAATTCTGTTTTACTTACTTTTGTGATGTTCTTTCCTTTGCTGAGGATTTGAATGTAACACCAATAAATATTAAGCAGTTACCATAAATATAACATTTAGAATATGGGATGACTGCCAAAAATTCCTAAAGGAATGAATGTAAGGTACATACATTGGAGGTATCTATCACCACATATGAGAACAATTCAAGCAACCATTAGTCTAAATGTAATCAGAATAACATCTAAACACACATCTTTGGCACTATGAGGATCTGAGAAAAGAAAGAAGGAGGAAAAAAATAGTTTTGAATTTAAGATGCTATATACAACAAGATCATTTCATGTGCTTAGTGAAATTTGAATTACTATATATATTTCAAACTGCACACTTTGTTAGGTGTATTCAAGCATATTTATATTTATTTTCAGACTATCCATAGGAAGTAATTAAAGAGCAGTGATTATACCTGTATTATAGTCTTAGTCCCAGAAAAAAAAATATGGATAGAGTGAGTTGTCTGCTCCTAAAATATCCCCTTTCTGTGAGTCTTTTTGGTCAAGATCTTCTGTAGAGTCTGATATAAGTTGATACAATACTTGCATAGGTTGCAAAGAAGAACTAGAGAACCCAATAAACACAAATCTGCACTTTTTTTTTTTTTTTTTTTTTTTTTGAGACAGCGTATCCCTCTGTTATCCATGTTGGAGCACAGTGGCTCGATCTCGGCTCACTGCAGCCTCCGCCTCCTGGGTTCAAGCAATTCTCATGCCTCAGCTTCCCAGGTATCTGGCATTACAGGCGTGCACCACCACACCTGGCTAATTTTTGTATTTTTAGTAGAGACAGAGTTTCACCATGTTGGCCAGGCTGGTCTCAAACTCCTAACCTCAAGTGATCTGCCCGCCTCTGCCTCCCAAAGGGCTGGGATTACAGACACGAGCAACCGTGCCTGGCCCAAAATCTGCAAATTTCTATTTTTCATGGATCTTCTGTCTCTATTAGTTGAACAGATTTCTGCACAATTTAAGATAATAAGCTAACGGTGTTTTCTCTAAATTGACTGTTATCTCTTGCAGCCTCTGTTTTCTAGCTATTCTCTGGCTTGTTTTTATTCACAGTTGCTGACACATTTGAAAAAAGTGAAGGTGTTCCAGTGGAAAAAGTGAGACTAACAGAAAGACCTGAAAATCTGAGTTCTAACAGTGAGATTTTGGATTGGGACATATACCAATACTATAAATTTTTGGCAGAAAGAGGAGATGTTCAGATACAAGTAATGTATACAGATGAGACTGAGTTTTTAGAACATGAAAATTACAAGGGCCTTAATTCTTTCTGAGTCCTGGAGGGATGAACAACACCCTATCCTAAACAGGAAAGGGGAGAGACATGCCCTCCTCTCGCCCTACTCCTGTTTTGTTCCCTGCTACTTGCAGTTCCTGTAGCCCACTGGAGAACTAGTTGCCATAATAATAGCAATGTTTTTGCATTTATTCCTTAAAAATTAATTTTTTTTTTTTTTTTTTGAGACGGAGTCTCGCTCTGTCGCCCAGTCTGCAGTGCAGTGGCGCGATCTCCACTCACTGCAAGCTCTGCCTCCCGGGTTTACGCCATTCTCCTGCCTCAGCCTCCCAGGTAGCTGGGACTACAGGCGCCCACCACCGTGCCTGGCTAATTTTTTGTATTTTTAGTAGAGACGGGGTTTCACTGTGTTAGCCAGGATGGTCTAGATCTCCTGACCTCGTGATCTGCCCACCTCGGCCTCCCAGAGTGTTGGGATTACAGGTGTGAACCACTGCGCCCGACCCCAATGTTGGTTTTAATATGAATAAACTACGACAATCCAGAAAGGTTCTGTCTTTGGGAATGGGACAGTATTTGCACAATCTTTGAGGGTCAAGAGCTAAAGCCCCTAGGTTTACGTGCCTGGGTGATTCTGTACCCCGGCAGGCCGGCTTCCAGCCACTAAGGAAGCCATATGTCCAGCAGCAACCAATTACCCAATAAATGATATAGTCTGGAATGTTTCCCTGAATTTTTCAGGACATTTCAAACGTGTCCAACAATCAACATACTACAGTAGAATCACCACATAAATGTTTTATTTATTTAAAGTAATACTGCTGCTAAAATCATTTCCAAACTCATCGTTCCTAGGTGTATCTTGGACAATTACATCTAATTGGGAGGAAAGGTCTGGATCAGGATTACCACGTAAGTCAATCTCAAGATCCAGTTACATGGGGTGGGGAAGGTAATAGTGAGGGAGGCTGGCAGGGAAGTGAAAGCGGACAGAGGGAGAGGTGGAAGAGTTGCTCAGAAAGCCCACTGATGCTTTCTTGGTCAACTATGCTTCCCAGCTTCTTAGGAAGAACTAAGTTCTCCAGAGGGAGCACTTGCCCACCTGCCTTCAAGAACAAAGGGGAAGGGACTTCTGAGGAGCAATCGAGGCAGGGGAGTATCCATGTTCCAGCAGAACCTAGTCTCTGCCCACTCACACACACTTTGGGCCGGGATTAGGAGAGAATATCCACACCTGCCAGCCTGAACCCAAGGCCAGCCGCAGAGTCCACCTGGGGATCACCACTAAGGAGCCTGAGAAGCAACTTCATCCCCATTTGGCTAAATCAGAAGACAGACTGCCTTTAATATAATTAAAAATATATTAAACATCCTTATACATTTGCAAAGCTCCTTTCAATCATTTTGCTTAACCTTACCTTATCCCAGTGAGGTTAAAAGGTTAATTAACTGGCCAGGCACAGTGACTCATGCCTGTAATCCCAGCACTTTGGGAGGCTGAGGTCAGGAGAATTGAGTCCATCCTGGCAAACATGGTGAAACCTGTCTCTACTAAAATTACAAAAAATTAGCCAGGTGTGGTGGCACATGCCTGTAATCCCAGCTACTTGAGAGGCTGAGGCAGGAGAATCACTTGCACCCAGGAGACAGAGGTTGCAGTGAGCCCAGATCATGCCACTGCACTCCAGCCTGGGCGACAGGGCAAGACTCCATAAAAAAACAAAACAAAACAAAAAACAAAAAAAAAAAAGAGAAAAAGAAAAAAAGTTAATCATTCAAATTTATAGTGAAGAAAAAAGCAAATGAACAAATGAACTTGACCTACACAGGATCCTCCTCTGTAAGATGCCAGGGTCATGGGATGAGTTCTTGCTTAGATTCTGATAGTGGTGTCAAGGCCCTACATCACCACAGACCTGGGAAGTAACTGGATTTTTTTTTTTAAAGATGATTTTGCTGCTCTTTTCATTTATAGGAGCCACATGCTCCTTGTCTCAAAGGAACACATAACCTATTTCAACATAGTCCCAATGGCTAAGTGATAGAAACAACTACTTTATAAGGCTATTACCTAAAAAAGTGATCTGTTATTACTTTGCATTTCATTTTGTGTTATTTTATGAATGTGTCTTTGGTACTATAATTTGTATTTTATATGAAGTCCAGTAAACATCAGGTAAATGTTGAAGTCATTTCATAAAATGTGATAAAATAGGTAGGAATTTAAATAAGCATATTCACCCCAAGACAGCTCAGTTGAAGATCTATAGATTTTTCTTTCATCTTAATCATAACCAAAGTTTTAGCTTCTTAGATGGGAATATCTGGATTCATAATATTACTCTGTCAGATTTCAGCCTGCAATGAGTTTCTCATGTTAATTGTAGAATGTGTAACTAGGAAGGCTTCCTCATTTTCCATAAACATGAAATTTGGACATGAGGGCACCCTAGCTTCAGCTGTAGGGAAGACAAACCAATCTTTGTACAGTGCAATAAAATCCCACAAAGTTGGTAATTCAGTCAGCTCCAGCCACTGTGGTCACCAGATGGCAGCTACAGCTGCCTCCAGGTGAGGATGAAGTGCAATCCCAGGGCAGGATCCTAGAGCTGTTGTGTAGCAGCCAGGCAGCTGAGTGTCACCCAGGAGCCCAGCCAGGATCTCCTGTGGGCTCATTCACAAGGTTTTATTACATCTGTTTTACAAATAAGAAGCAGAGGCTGGAGACATAAAATAAATTGCTTCAAGGCTCACAACTGGGAAGTAAGATTGTTTAAGAAGCAGAATTTGAACTCAGGCCTTCAGAAATCAAAACCTGAGCTCTTTCCATTAAACTTCATTTGACCCAGGCCAAAACAAAAAACAGCCTCTAAAATCTGTTCCCTTATTTATAAAGCAAGAAGAAGAAATGACATGATCTCTCAGTTTCCTTCAGCCCTTTCTGATAGTGGGTTGGGCCTTCTGCTTCCAGATATCTCAAGAAGATGAGTTTAATTCCAGAACCATCCTTGTGGTTCAGGTACTCTCTGGGGGTAAGCACAGGCTGGTCCTTTTTTCTTCTCTCAGCCTAATGAACCTGAACTTGAATGGAGGACTCCAGTTGAAATATCAAACCTTATGACAAATTGACTTATCTATCAGTTATCTTTGTCTGCATTTTAAACAGTCCCAAACTTAGGTGGTTTTCAATAATAACCATTTATTTAATTCATGATTTTGACAGGTCAGCAATTTTGGTTAGCCTCAGCTGAGCAATTCCGATCTGGGCCAGGCTCAGCTAATCTTCGCTGGGCTTGCTCATGCATCTGCAGTTCTCTGGAACATTAGCTAGAGCTGGCTGGTTTATGATGGCTTCCTCTGTGACTGCTAGAATGACTGGGGTCCCTCTCCATGTGGTCTCATGCTCCAGCCAACTGGCCCAAGCTTTCCACTTGGCAGTCAAAGGTTCTAAGAACACCAGAGCAGAAGTCTCTTGAGGCCTGAGCTCAGAACTGACAAATCACTTCTGCCACATTCTTTTGGCCAAAGCAAATCACAAGGCCAGCAAGCTTGGAGAAGTAGGGAAATGGGCTTCTCCTCTCAATGAGCAGAGCTGCAAAGTACTGGGGTCATTCTTGTAACATACCATAGTGTAGCTGTGCCAGAATCAACTTGGAAGGCAGGGGAGATGCATAAGGGAGAGGGAAGATACAAAGATAAATCCAGTTTCCAAAAGGCTATTACTGCAGCTCTTTTCATGCCTCACTTCTCATCTTTCCAAGTCTCACCTCCTCAGAGAGGATATTGTTTTCTTTTCTTTTTATTTTATTTTCTTTTTTAATTGACTCATAATAATTGTACATATTTATGGGATACAGTGATGTTTTGATCATTACTTAATATATTCATTATGTAATATATACATATGTATGCAAATGTGACGTACACATTATGTAATTATCAAACCAGGGTAATCTGCAAATCCATCACCACAAACACTTGTCATTTCTTTGTCATGTTCTATTCACAATCCTCTCTTCTAGTTATTTTGAAATATACAATACCTTATTCTTAACTACAGTCCTCAGCCTGAAGACCACCACTTGAGCCAGTATGCTAATATTTCAGTCCACCAAAGAGAATTATTAGTATAAGACTCTTCTTAAATATGATGCTCCAGTCCACTGCTCAGAAAATTAAATTTCAAAATACCTGGAAATAACTAGCTGGCCTTTCTTTTCCTTCCTCATTGTTTGGTTGAACTAATCTCTCTCATGAGTTGTCATCACAGAAAACGTTTTTACCCTCCCCCTGACCAAATTCTTAATTATTGAAAAATACTGTATATGCAATTCTTGATTACATTATCTTGAAATTTCTACACATAGATTTTAATTTTATTTGCATTTCTAAATATATGCAGGCTCAGAGTAAATTGGATTAGGAAAGCGGGATGTTTGGGTGAATATTATTAAAATGGATAAAGCGTAATTAAATTAAACCTAGCAGAGGAATAATATCAAATTTGTAAGGGCAACTGCTTTGTCTATCCTGCTACCCATTAAAAAATTTTTAAAAAGAGCTAATACCATCTCTTCTCAGGATGATCTACAGAGCCAGAGATGAAAGAAGTATTCAGGCCAGGCACGGTGGCTCATGCCTATAATCCCAGCACTTTGGGAAGCTGAGGTGGGCGGATCACAAGGTCAAGAGATTGAAACCATCTTGGCCAACATGGTGAAACCCTGTCTCTTCTAAAAATACAAAAATTAGCTGGGCATAGTGGCGCACGCCTGTAGTCCCAGCTACTCAGGAAGCTGAGGCAGGAGAATTGCTTGAACCTAGGAGACGGAGGTTACAGTGAGCTGAGATCACGCCACTGTACTCCAGCCTGGTGAAAGAGCAAGACTCCATCTCAAGAAAGAAAGAAAAAAAAAAGTATTCATAAAGATTTTTAGAACAATACATTTTCTTGGCATTTCATTCTAGGGGAAATGTTACAAACCGATTAAACTACAGATTTGCTTATAGCTGATGAAAAATCATGATCATTTTTTTAAAAGAGAGATATGGGTTCAAATAATAAAACTTTATTTACTTAACATAATATCGGGGGCTTACTATATTTCATACTAAGACACCAGCAATTGTAAGACACACAAATATTTTATGTTCTGAGGAATAAAAAAAAATACCAATATATATTATAATATGCCATTGATAGTAAGAAATGTCCTGATTGAAATGAGGTGGGAGGAGATGTACATCTTAGAATCTGTGAAATATGATGATGGGTGCTCAGTTAATATTTGAAGGAAGGAAGGAAGGATGGATGGATGGACAGATGGATGGATGGATGGATGGATCGATGGATGGATGGATGGATGGATGGATGGATGGATGGATGGATCGATGGATGGATACTTGATCTTAACTCTTCAAGAACAAGAACTCAGGTTTGCTCATGTGTATCCATCAAGGTAGCTTTCTTGGTGGTAGTTTCATGTGGTGTTTAATAAAGATTTATATAATTGAAGCAATAGTATTAGGGACATGTAAATTTAAAAATGAAAAAAAAAAGGAATGAAATGCTAAGTAAGCCATGACAGTGGAGCAGTGTGTGAGACAGAGTCTCAATTCCTTTAGGTCTTTATCAAATCATTATATTTAAGGGTGGGGAAAACGCCAGGATTTATATTTGCTTCTGGAGAACAAGTTACTTTCTTTTAAAATTTCACTGATTTCCCAGAATGAAACTTTTTTCAAAAGTCTCTATTACAAGATATTTGAGAACCAAATTACTAAACTGGACTTTGAAAATGATTTTACAGAATCATAATACTAGAGCAAGAAGAGCCCATAAAGATTAAAGTCCAGCTGCCTTGTTTTAGAGATGGATAGACATTCATTCATTTATTCATTTCTGAAACATTTCCTGATACCTAACACATAGCCCACACTATGCTAAGTACAGAAGATTCAACATTGGAGGAGACAAAATAAGTAGATAATGAAATCAATGGATGAATGCCACAATACGGACAGGATGAAGTGCCCTGAGAGCACAGAGGAGGAGAATCTGAATAAGGAAACCAAGCCCAGGAGATAATGTAATTTGTGTAATTTACACAGTTACCTGGGGACATATTTTGGTCACAGCTCAGTAGAGAGATTCATGAGATACACTTTCATTTTTGATATTAGTGTTCTCTCATTTAGTAACTTGTTCACTGCTATAACTTTCTTCTCTCCAGCTGACACTTAGATGATTCCAGGCATTGTATCTTCAGGATTCCCTAACATTTATAGATCTTCAGTGGCTTCTATTTTGATTTTTTATTTTAAAATAAAATAAAATCCTTACAGCCACGTGTGGTGGCTCACACCTGTAATCCCAGCACTTTGGGAGGCCAAAACAGGAGGATCACCTGAGGTCAAGAGTTCAAGATCAGCCTGGCAAACATGGCAAAACTCCATCTCTACTAAAAATACATAAATGAGCCGGTTGTGGTGGTCGCACATCTGTAGTCCCAGCTACTCAGGAAGCTGAGGCAGGAGAATCACTTGAACCCAGGAGGTTGAGGTTGCAGTGAGCCGAGATCACACCACTACACTCCAGCCTGGGTGACACAGCAAGACTGTCTCAAAAAAATTTTTTTAATTAAAAAAAAATTAGAAAATCCTTAGCCTGGTATTCAAGGCTGTTTATAGTAATGGTCCCATCGTATTTTTGTAAGTCTTGGCTTTCGGATGTTGTATTTCAGCCACGCTGAAGTAGTTACTATTTTCTGAACACAACTTGGCCACTCCCATCCCCATTCCTTTGCTCAGGTTCTTTCCCTAGCCTCTGTACTGGTGACTTGTTACCATCTTTCATGAGGCCTCGATCACTGTAGCCCTCCTCTGTATACCGTGGAGACAGAGTGGCAAGCTGCTTATTGATCTCCAGTACTAACTGCACAACTCTGACATGTTGGTAATAAGATCAGATATTAATAACACCCTCCTGATGGTGCTATTGTGAAGATTAGGTAAGAAAAAGTTTGCAAAACACTTATTGGAGAACTGGATACAATGTCTTTTATTCTATCTCCTTCTAATTCCTTATGGAGTTTATTTTATACTACCTATTACCTACTATCTTACGGCTATTTATATGTATTCTCTTTCTCAGGAACATTGTTAGGGAGCAAATGTAGGAATCATGTTTCTGTTTATCTATGAATCACCTATAATACGTAACATACTATCCTATATATAGCAGGCTTCAATCAAGTGTTTGAAAGGGTAAGTGAAGATTGGGAGAGCTGGATGGATGAATGGATGCATGATGCCATGAGGTTCAGCAGTGGCAGCATTTGTACTTATGTCCACAAAGAAGTTAGCAACATTCCTACAGCAAACTTCCATGTCAAATAACTACCAGCAGTTCTTCCTTAAACATTCTCTTCTCTTAGGAACATCTTTGCACATCAGCCTGATCAAGACTTTTTAAAGAGCAGAAGGGTCGTATCCTAACAAGACACTTTAAAGAATGGCTTCACAGCTGGGCATTGTGGGGGTTGCCTGTAATCCCACTCGGGAGGCTGAGGCAGGAGAATCACCTGAACCCAGAAGATGGAGGCTGCAGTGAGCCAAGATCATGCCACTGCACTCCAGCCTGGGCGACAGAGTGAGACTCTGTCTCAAAAACAAACAAACAAACAAACAAAAAGAGCGGTTTCATATCACATTCTTGAGGCTGATTTCTTTCATTGCTCTATATGGTTTCCGAGGAGGGGCTTTCCAGAAGGTCAAGATGAGGCCTAGGGAGTGTGGCAGCAAGGGACAAGGTCAGCCCTTACGTGTTCTAGACAGAGTGCTTCATTTAATGTAATGACCTGACAAAAATCAGAGGCTTTACTGGCGTCCTTCAATTTGAGTCAGAAGGAATTGTCTTAAAGCTCACTTCTGCATAAAGACCTGATCTCAGCAGCTGGGCAAGTGTGTCTGGTCTTACTATGCCTATAAACACTAGGATACTGTGTATCCAATTCTGCAACCATAGTAAAACCTCTTATTAAGTACACAGTGTCAACAGAGAAGCCTGCTTTTCAAAATAATGGACTATTTAGCTTCACAGCTGGGATTCATCTCTCCCTACAAAGCTACATTCCCGTCGTGGCTTTCCAAATGTAAGAAGCAAGTCCTCATGTTATAAAATGATATGAAAGGAAGAGATAAGAGATGGAGACACTCTCCCACTTCTCAGGTTATGGTTGAAAAAGCACTTGCTCGGAATAGTGCCTTGAACAAAATGGGCATTTCACAGATTTTTTTTAAGCTCAGTGGCAAGAACCATAGATATTTTTCGAATGCCTGTTGAATTAAATAAAGTGTGGCTCAAAAAGCTATCTTGAAGGATTTATTTTGTGACTAGCAATAACACTGTTCCTTTTCTCTCCAGAAAGCATTACACTACTTCTTAAAGGCAGCAAAGGCCGGGAGTGCAAATGCCATGGCATTTATAGGAAAGGTACATGCTTCATCTTGATTCATAGTTTTCATTTATTAAAAACCTAAGAAATTAGCAGCGTGTGCCTGTTGTCCCAGCTACTTGGGAAGTCGAGGTGGGAAGATCACTTGAGCACAGGCGACCAGCCTGGGCAACACGGCAAGATCCTCATCTCAAAATAATTAAAATTTAAATTTAAAAAATAAAAACCTAACAAATGAATGATATCAGCTCATTGAACCCATTGTAGAGGGACAGCGCAGCAGGCCTCTCTGACGGAAGCAGCTGAATGGGGCGTTTGGCTGCAATCTGAGGGTGGTATTCTTGAGGTGACAGTTTGGGAAGAAGCCCCATATAACAGCAGCCTTTATCTGGGGCACCAAAAGCAACTTTAAAAGTGCACCTGGGCCAGGCGCGGTGGCTCCCGCCTGTAATCCCAGCACTTTGGGAGGTGGAGGCCGGTGGATTGCTTGAGGTCAGAAGTTCAAGACCAGCCTGGCCAACATGGTGAAACCCCGACTCTACTAAAACTACAAAAATTAGCTGGGCGTGGTGGCGGTTGCCTGTAATCCCAGCTACTTGGGAGGCTGAGGCAGGAGAATCGCTTGAACCCGGTAGGCAGAGGGTGCAGTGAGCCGAGATTACGCCACTGCTCTCCAGCCTAGGCAACAGAGGAAGACTCCATCTCCAAAAATAAAAAATAAAATAAAAAAGTGCACCTGGCCCAGGTCTCCTCCTCTGAGCGTAGCTATGAGCCTATGACTACCCCACTCCCCAATATGTAAGAGGAGATCCAGGTTGGTTGAGTGCTGGAGACGGGTACAGGTCTGAGCCCAATCAGGCCCTTCTCTCCTCTACTGCTGGAGTGTGAATCAGCTCCAGACTGACCAGAGCTATACTTATGCCACCTCTGATGGGAGGCCTCCTATGACTGCAGAGTAGCCTGGTGGAGGGTTCCTCTGGAAATGCATGCTCTTCTCTCTCCTTCAAAGACTATTCACTCCCCTATGTGCCACCCTTGGCTCCCTGCGGCCGATTTGCATTAGTAACCATAGGGACAAATGTCCTGCTTCCTAAGTGCAACACACAGTAAATGTAGATGCAAAACAAAAGAGAGAGAGAAAACACAAACAGGGTCCATTTCTTTGCCCTCAGGCAGGGTCACTCCAGAAATCTGTAATAAATGGTACTCCTACTTTTTCTTGTTGTTTTAAATTGAGGTAAAATGTAAATATGTAAATAACACAAAATTGACCACTCTAAAGTATACAATTCAGTGGCATTTACTACTTTCAATGTGTTGTACCACTCTTACCACTATTTCATTTTAAAATATTTGTATTACCCTCAAATTATTTTGTTTTTTTCTATCCTCTTTTCATTTTTCTTCCTAGATGTATTTAGAGGGGAATGCTGCCGCACCGCAAAATAATGCTACTGCCTTCAAGTACTTTTCCATGGCAGCCAGTAAGGTATGTCCTTAATGCACTGCTGTAAACACATACACACAAACTGCTTTTATTACATGCAGACTGGTGCCAAAGAATGGACTTCAAAGTCCCAAGCCCAGATAATGGGCCAGTAAGGAGTTTTGTGTCCTGGAGAAGTATAATATTGGTGATGGGAGTATGCAATGGCAGTAAGGGAAGCTACGACTTGTCTTCTTGGAAAATGAAAAATGGCAGTGGCTTGTGCTGCCCTAGCAGAGGCCAGGAGGAAGCCAGACAGAAGTTCAGCTTTCCCCTCTCCCTTATGCAATAGATGAGGCCATCTAGCTCAGGAACAGGAAACAAAAGAGATGAGGACAGAGGAAGGGAAAATCCCTCTGTTGGCCAGAGCTCCCTCTGGCCGAGGTGGGAGCTTGTCACGGAGGAGGCCAGGGCAAGGAGACTGAGAATAGGGATCTACAGACAGAATCCTTAGCTTGAATGCCAGCCTTGAAACTGACTAGATGTGTGAACATGAGCAAGTTACTTAACCTCTCTGTGCCTCAATTTCCCCATCTGTAAAATGGGAATTCAAGAATATTTGCCTGCCAGGCACAGTGGCTCGCGCTTGTAATCCCAACACTTTGGGAGGCTGAAACAGGCAGATTGCTTGAGCTCAGGAGTTTGAGACCAGCCTGGGCAACATGGTGAAACCCCATCTCTACAAAAAGTACAAAAATTAGCCCAGCGTGCTGGCACACACCTGTAGTCCTAGCTGCTCAAGAGGCTGTGCCTCATATTGTGAAGTACTTAAAGCAGTGCCTGACAGATAGTAAGCACGCTATTATCTTTTGCAGTGTGAGGCCAGTAAGGTAGAGTGAACTTCAGAGCACATTCCAGACAGAATGAATTAGCTGTATGAGGAACGAGTGAAATGGTATAATATGCCTCCTGCATTGAAGTCTCTGCCTTTGTTCCTGGGCTCCGTGAGGCTGGTATCTGTCAGATAAGACTTGGTAGACTCCTCTGAATCCCTTTCATGCATAAAAGATGGCCTCATCCCAACACCCATCGGCCTGCTCTTGGCGAATGGCCTTGGAAACTTTCTATCCCTGCACAGTAGGAAGCATTTTGTTGTCTTACAGTTGCATACTGGAACACTGGCAGTAAAGATGTGCTCAAATCAGGAATCATTTCAACCATTCCCAGTTTTTAAAAACCCACACACTGCTCTAGGAGCCTATTTATAAGTGACTAGCACCTCGGAGCTGCTGCTATTGTGGTGTAAATTACTGAGAAGACTAGTATTCGGCTTCTCTCCCTTGTAATTTATATGAAATTGTTGCTCAGCAAGGCAGTTATCTGAAGTACCATTAGATTAGGATGACAAGGAAAAGCAGACTGAAAAGGAGTAACAACGAAAATCTCTTATAATCTGGCAAATAACACTGATTTGTCAGCCCACAAGAATAATGCCAGGGAGATGGGAGTGTAAATTAACTCAGCTTCCAAGCTATTCAGAGTTGTGGAACCAACCAGCAGTGATCTGGGTCTCTGGTGCGCTGAACCCGAGCTGCTTTCCTTTACAAAGGAAATCTGAACTTACAATTAAGGTAATTATTCTAAATGGCATTGGGTAGAGATGGCCACATACTTCTTGATCAGTGCCTGGACAATTGATGAGATTTCTCACTCTTACTACTTTTTTTAAAACTGCTTTGTAAATTTGTTTTTAAATGATATCAATACCATGACACAGAGCTACAGATTTTACAACCTCTTTTGTCTTATTTACTTAGAAACAAGCACAGTGACTGAATGTGACATTGTGCCCATGTTGGACCACATTCCTCCAGTTCTCTCTTGCGCCCCTGAACACATCAGGCCCATCCCCATCTCCATACTTTTGTCATCTGCCTCCTCTTCCCAGAGTCTCTTATTCTAAGTCCTAGTTATCCCCCGGAGCACAGCCCAGTCCTCCCTCCATCTGCCCCTGCCCTTACTGGCTCGCATGATCTCTTTCCTCTTCTGAACTTACCCTGCATTCACTCCTGCTGCTGGGATTTAACTGGTTCCTACCTGTGGCTTCTCCCCTCCTGTCCAAAAGCCATGTGCCCTCAACTAGAGGAGGGCAAAGGTCCTGCCAAGGGGTTATTAAATAAAGGGGTCTAGAGCAGGGGTTTATTAAATATTTGCCAAAGAAAGGCCTATTTGCTCCCTGACTTCATGTCAGTTAACCTAAGCAACAGCATTACACCCTAAAACAGCAGGTGTATACTGGAGGGGTTGGCTATACATATGGTTTATCTGGGCCAGAAAGTGTTTTAAAAATCAGTAAACTGGCCGGGCATGGTGGCTCACACCTGTAATCCCAACACTTTGGGAGGCCGAGGTGGGCGGATCACCAGATCAAGAGATTGAGACCATCCTGGCCAACATGGTGAAACCCTGTCTCTACTAAAAATACAAAAATTAGCTGGGTGTGGTGGCATGTGCCTGTAGTCCCAGCTACTCGGGAGGCTGAGGCAGGAGAATCACTTAAACCTGGGAGGCAGCGGTTGCAGTGAGCTGAGATCCTGTCACTGCACTCCAGCCTGGCAACAGAGCAAGACTCTGTCTCAAAAAATAAATAAATAAGATAAATAAATCAGTAAACTTGACATCCAAATCTAAACATCCAGCTTTTCTTGAAAATAGCAAAAGCTAGCCAGGCATGGTGGCTGGCACCTCTAAATCCCAGCACTTTGGAAGGCTGAGGCTGGTGGATCACTTGAGGTCAGGAGTTCGAGACCAGCCTGGTCAACATGGTGAAACCCTATGTCTACAGAAAGTACAGAATTAGCCGGGCATGGGGGCGAATGCCTGTAATCCCAGCTACTTGGGAGGCTGAGGCATGAAACTCACTTAAACTCAGGAGGCAAAGGTTGCAGTGAGTTGAGATCATTCCACAGCACTCCAGCATGGGTGATAGAGCAAGAGTCTGTCTTTAAAAAAAAAAAAAAAAAAGGAAAAGAAAAGAAAAGAAAATGACAAACGCTAATGAAACAGGACTGCCATTTTCAGCTGGAGCAGAGGAGCTGAGAGCTGCTGCTGCCTTCACGCAGGGCAGGGACTCTATGTGTCTCCATCTGCACCACTGTCTCCACCACTCGGCATATTTTATTTCTTATATCAACGGCATGGTTCCTGCAGGTATCTGAACTGGCCACTCCTCACCTGACAAGTTCTAAATAGGTACGCTGGGCCTTAAACAGTGATGGGTAATTCACTGAGCCCCTGGGGTCCCAGGGACTCCCTTAGAGAAGAAAGTAATTTGTCCCTGCTATTTTAACCTTTCTCCTTTCTCTCTCCCTTCTTCCTTCCCTCCTTTCATTTCTGTTTCCTTCCCGTCTGTATTAGTCCGTTCTCACATTGCTAATAAAGACATACCTGAGACTGGGTAATTTATAAAGGAAAGAGGTTTAATTGGCTTACATTTCAGCATTGCTGGGGAGGCCTCAGAAAACATACAATCATGGCAGAAGGGAAAGCAACTACGTACTTCTTCACATGGCAGCAGCAAGGAGAAGTGCTAAGCAAAAGAGGGAAAAGCCCCTTATAAAGCCATCAGATTGCATGAGAACTCACTATCACAAGAACAGCAGCACGGGGGTAACCGCCCCCAGGATTCAATTACCTCCCACCAGTTCTCTCCCATGATGCATGGGGATTATAGGAACTACAATTCAAGATGACATCTAAACGAGGCTAATTAGAAGAAGACAGACTCACTAGACTTTGCCACATTCATCACACTCAGCCGTACTACTTCCAGAGCAGAGCAACCCAAGACTCCCAGAACCACAAGAGATGTGACCAGGAGAGAAGAGGGAACAAGAGAGCAGAATTATACCATCTGTTTTAAATACGGATGTACTGTCCTTAAGAACTCTTACAATAGCAGATCCTCTCATACGATAGGCTCAAAATTTGGAGTCTTGAAACCGTTTTTGAAATATGCCTTCTCTATTTATGTGCTATTCCTGTGTTACTGAGGGTTACTCCGGCTGCATCTACAATAACTAAATATAGGTGGTAAGAAGAAATTTGGAGAGCTTTCTATTAGAACACAAGTTCCTGCAGAAATACTTGAAACCTGTAAAACATACCTACAGATCTGCTGAATGAAAATCAGTTGGTCGGCAGGGCGCGGTGGCTCACACTTGTAATCCCAACACTTTGGGAGGCCAAGATGGGCAGATCATTTGAGGCTAAGAGTTTGAGACCCACCTGGCCAACATGATGAAACCCCGTCTCTATTAAAAATACAAAAAACTTAAAATCCAACACTTTGGGAGGCCAAGATGGGCAGATCATTGAGGTTAAGAGTTTGAGACCCACCTGGCCAACATGATGAAACCCGTCTCTATTAAATACAGCAATAGGCTGGCAAATAAGACAGGGTCCCCACAGTTACAAAGAAAAAAATTAGCTGGGTGTGATGGCGCGCACCTGTAATCCCAGTTACTCAGGAGGCTGAGGCAGGAGAATAGTTTGAACCTGCAAGGCACAGGTTGCAGTGAGCCGAGATTACCTCACTGCACTCCAGCCTGGGCAACAGAGTGAGACTCTGTCTCAAAAAAAAAAAAAAAAAGAAAGTCAGGTGGTCAATCATGGTTTCTTACTGTAGTCACTAGAGGGTGAAATGCATGATAGGAGATGGAAAGAGTTTTCTCCTTGAGAAAGTCACTTTCAAAGTTCACTCTTCATCCAAAATTTATATGCTAAATATCTATATATTTGAACATGTGCTGAATACTAAATGTGCGAAACACTCCCTTCCTTATTCAGAATATTAATTGGAAAATAAATTGTAATTAATTTAGCATCAAGTGGAAAAGGAAACATCAGGGATGTTATAAGCAATAAATTTGAATAAAGAAATATACCAACAATGCTTTACTATCTGTAGTGGCTGGACTGAAATCCACAGAGTCTCTAAAATGTGATTTGGCCACTTATGTCAACCTCCTTGGACCTGAGTAGGTAACAAGTGTCTGGATAGACTTCTCCCTTCTGGAAAACTCCTGCACATCCTTTAAGACCTAGCTCAAATGTCACCACCCCCACTCCTGACAATTCGATCTTCTTCAGTTCCTAGTCTCAATCAGGCACTAGAGTGTCCCTCTTCTAGGTGTCTGCAACACTCTCAATCTACTTCTTTTTTTCTTTCTTTTTTTTTTTTTTTCCAGGCAGAGTCTTGCTCTTTCGCCCAGGCTGGAGTGAAGTGGCGCAATCTCGGCTCACTGCAACCTCCGCCCCATAGGTTCAAGCGATTCTCCTGCCTCAGCTTCCCGAGTAGCTGGGATTACAGGTGTCTGCCACCACGACCGGCTAATTTTTACATTTTTAGTGGAAACGGGATTTCGCCATGTTGGCCAGGCTGGTCTCAAACTCCTGACTTCAGGTGATTCCCTCACCTCAGCCTCCGAAAGTGCTGGGATTACAGGCATGAGCCACCACACCCGGCCTCAATCTATTTCAACTTTAGGACTTACCACATTTGACAGAACTCTTAAGAGGTCTGACCTGCCCCTCCCCTTTGATATGGCTCAGAGCCCACTAGTGTGTGAATTCTCCAAGGCAGGGATTATAGCTTCTTCATCTTTTACCTTTCACCTCCTACCTCTGCCCAGGGCCTACTATGGAATCATACACAAAGCAAGTCCTAAATAAGTGTTGAATACAAGAATGGGGGAGAGATTTGACTTTTGTTTCCCTCTTCCCTTTTCTATCCAGAAGGGTTTATGAAAGTATAAAAGGAGAAACCACAGTGGGTCAGAATAACCAGTCAACTGCCTTGATTAATCTCTTACTGGGTGCATGTCAAATATTTTGAATAATTTTGCAGTAATTTTCTTTATCATGAATTCTTCTGGGACTTTACTTGCCTTTTTAAAACTCTTCTAGGGCAATGCAATTGGCCTTCATGGGCTTGGTCTTCTTTACTTTTATGGAAAAGGAGTTCCCGTGGTAAGTTGAATTATTTTATTATCTTTTCATTTGTAGCAATTTATAGGGTAAAATTCATGGTCATTCATTAGTTTAAAGGAATTCACCTCTATTATCTGGTTTGCCAAACTCTTATATCAGATAATAGAGAATAAAATAATCCAGTGAAATATCTGCCAAAGAGACACTGAAGAACAAGCTTGTGACAAGAATAGTAATTCTAATTATATCTTAGAATCATAGATTCTAAGTAACCTTAGAAATCATCTCTCCTCTGAGGACTTTATTGATGGAGAAATTTATCTTCTTAGTCTTTTAGGTGACCTTCCCCCAATATCTAACAAAATGTACTGTCAAGGTAGAAAAAGACATAATTATGATGAAAATGAGACATTAGTTCCTAATAGAGTCTAATATAATAATGAAATAAAATATATAATGTTTCTGATACTATTTTAATTAGCCTAAATCACATAGGGCACTGTCTATAGTCTTTTTAAAAAGTGGAAGGCAATTGTTTCCATGGAGTTTTACTTGTGCCTTTGAGTAATAGAGTGTAATTATCTGCAGAATTATGCCGAAGCACTTAAATACTTTCAGAAAGCTGCGGAGAAAGGGTGGCCCGATGCACAGTTCCAGTTAGGCTTCATGTACTACTGTAAGTGCCATAAATATGGCTGCTTTATTTAGAATGACATATGCACTATTAAGTCTGCTCTTTTTATAACAAACATCAAACGGTTGGTGTGAGTGGTTTAGACGGAACATTTAGGCAACAAATTAAATAAGAATTTGAAAAAGACTAAAGAAAAGTACACCAGTTGGGAGAGGGGACAAGGAGGTGCAGAGTCAGGAAACTCACCTTTGACAAGATTAAGTTGGAGGTGCTAGCGATATCCCATGCACATCCCCAGAAGCAAGTATGAAACTCACAAGAAAGGTCAAACTTACAGAGAAGGTTCGAGAGGCATCAGCACACAGCTGTTAGTTAACAGTAGTTGAGGCTGCAAAAGGAAAGGAGCAAGAGGGTGAGAGGAAAGAGCAGTGGACCATGGTAGATAACTAGTGATCCTCCATTCTGTATTGAAGGGTAGGCAGGGGAAGTACATCACTGAGAAGAATGGAAAGGCAAGTTCAGTGGAATAGGGAAATAATATATATATATATATATATATATCTCGGAATAGGGGAAAAAAAAAATATATATATATATCTTAATGGAGCCAAGGGAAGAACTTTCAAGGAAGAGTAAATGAATGAGCACCCCTGTGAAACGCAGTGAGAAACCTGGTTTAAAAAACAAGAGGCCAGGCATGGTGGCTCACGCCTGTAATGCTAGCACTTCGGGAGGCCGACGTGGGCGGATCACGAGGTCAGGAGTTTGAGACCAGCCTGGCCAATATGGTGAAACCCCGTCTCTACTAAAAATACAAAAATTAGCCTGGTGTGGTGAGGGGCGCCTGTAGTCCCAGCTACTCGGGAGGCTGAGGCAGAAGAATCACTTGAACCCAAGAGGTGGAGGTTGCAGTGAGCCAAGATCACACCACTACACTCCAATATGGGCAACAGAGCAAGACTCCATCTCAAAAAAAAAGAGAGAGAAAAAAAAAAAAACAAGAAAGAATGAGATATCTATAAGACTTGGCAATACAGAGAATGTGGGTGAGGTCATTGGACTGCTTGGGGTGGAAGCCGGATGACAATGGCATGAATTTGAGATCAGGAAGTTGAGAAATAAAAGTATTCTTACAAGCAGCATGCCCTTAAAGGGAAAGAGAGAGAAGGAACTCAGCATCAGGGGGACTAAGGACCCAGAGGGTGTTACTTTTAAGATGGCAAGAGACCTGAGCATAATTGTAACTGATGGAAAGAGACTCTGAAAAACGTTGGTGGTATTAGCACCTGATTGGGTGCAGAGCAGTGGAAGCCTCTTTAACCTTGATAGATAGGCAGGATTGCTCAGCCTCAAAGACTGGAGGGAGGGTGGAAAGGATGATGCGAATCTAAGTACGGGGGAATGGGATGGGGAGAGAGGCGAGTGAGGAAAGACGATGTGAAGTTTTCTTCAATGATCTCGTAGGTACAAAGTTGACTTCTGTGAGCCAAAGTAGAGTGGTTGGCTAGGAGGTCTCAGAAAGCCATGAAAGTTTGTAATAATCTCTATGGGGAGTGAGAGAGGAAGTGGCCAAGATAAACAGCAGGACATCTGAACACACCTGATTATCCCTACCAAGTCCTTCATGTCAGAGGCAGAGCCAGGGCAGCAGCAGACTGCATCATCAAGGAGGTCACATCCAGTCAAGGGGTCACTGGCATTTTCCACAGTGGCCCAGCAGGAGCACCTGTTTTGTACTATCTTGGGGGGTTTAGGTTGCCTAAGATGGCCTTGTTCTTTTAGTTCATTCCAAGTTCTTGGCTCGGGATCTACCAGATTTCCCAAGTTTCTAGAATAAGAAAAATAGTCATGGCTAATGTATATTAAGTCTTTGTATGTTTTAACTCATTTGACCCTCTCAACACATCTACGGGGTATCCCACAGTGGACAGATGAACAAACTAAGCCAATGTTGTGGTTGGACATCTTGCCCAGGATCACACAGTTGTGGAGCTGGAATTCAAACTCAAGCTATTTGCCTCCAGAGCTTTTGCTCTTCATCGCTACATGGCACTGCTTCTAAAGGCTCCAGTGTTAGAGCTGGAAGATAACTTAAAGACCATCTAAGGAAAGCCTTCACCTTTGCAAATAAAGTGCCCAACTCACAAAAGAACTAATGAGAGAGCCAGGACAAGAATTTTGGCTGCTGGGAGTCTGCTGTTTCTCTGATCTAGCTTCAAATGCCTATTCCTGCTCTAAGCAGGAGTTTGGTGAGAGTTCGGCTTCTTGGAGCTGGGATTTACCGGCTGCATACGCCACAGTTGTGGCTGGGAGAAGCTATATGGGTGCCCTGATAAGGAACGATGACAAAGATGGCGAGATGCATCATGGTGGGGCTTCGGGTCCTCAGAGACCATCACTTGGTTTCCTTTGCATTAACTTTAGTTATGCCATAGTGGGGAGATACTTTCACAAAACTAAGTAGTCCTTCTTTTGCGATTTTTTTTTCAGAATGGCTCAAGAATATAAATTTCCATATTCTTACTTAGAATCAAACTCAGTGTTCACCCCCACCTTCACAAATAGTGGATTTAGAGTAGCTTGACTTTTGGTTGCTTTTCCCATCGTATTTACATAGCAGGCATCACAATGACTATTATATCCAGTGATTATAATATAAAAAGTAAAGTCAATAAGGGATGGCTTAAAATGATTTTAATTTTCAGCTGGCTCTGGAATATGGAAGGATTATAAACTTGCCTTCAAATATTTTTACTTGGCATCTCAGAGTGGGCAGCCCCTCGCCATTTACTATCTGGCCGAGATGTATGCAACAGGAACAGGAGTAGTAAGATCATGCAGAACTGCTGTGGAGGTAAATGCAATATGAGGCTGTTTTTAAAGCACTTGTCATATATGACACAGAGGAGGTGATACTGTTCTTAAATTGTTGGTGTCTTTGATTTTATAAATATTACCTCTTTTCTTCCAGCTGACAATGTGAATACTGACATTTGTCAGAGGGGAAAAGCAGTGATGTAACTCGGGGTGGGGGAGACAGAGAAAAGATCTCTCCTCTCTCTGACATTTGGCTTTTCATCAAGTTCAGAGCTCACCTCAATATGCAGTTAAGGAGCTCTGTTTCAGCATTCAATCAAATCACCAGGGCAATTTGGCACTTCTAGTGGGATAGGGAGTTGCTACTTGGGAAACGAAAGGCTAGATTTAGCCTAGAAAATGTAGCCCACTTCTTCCCAGAAAGCAGCATCCTTTGGTTTTTGATGATTTGGATGACAATTGAGAAAGTGAATTCTCTCAGTCTGAGCCAGTGATGCGCTTTCCAAAAGAATGCTTTTAGGACCTTAATGTCCTTCATTGATTTATTAAACACGTCTGCTGCACCAGCATAAATACTCTATGTTGCAATCTGGCCCCTCTGAAGCTCATTTCAAAAGCTGCCAGCTAATGATCTATCTTTAGATTTGCTCCTTTGCCAACTTCCTAATGAATTATGTATGGCTAACCTCTTTTGGTTACATAAGGGCTATTCAGCTAAGTTGACATTTGTCCCCCTAGGGCTCTGCACACCTTCCTCACAGTTATGTCACCTACACCCTCTGGCACTGTCTTCCGTTCATTCTCTCCTTTTCACATCAGCTGTGGCCTTATAACTTGCCCTTGCAGAGCCGCAGTGCTCAGAAAGTCCCTTTAACACACACACACACACACACACACACACACACACACTAGCGATACATTCTTATTCTTCCACATAGCCTCCAAGTCAGGAAAGTTTATTATACAAATTTAAAATAAAGCTGAGGAAGTTTCCCTGAAGACAAAAACAAAACAAACAAACCCAAACACTTCTGATCTTTGTGCCTATAAAAGGTATTAACTCTTTACCCTAAATAATTTGCAAAATATAGACCTAAAATCCTTCCCTGACCAGCCCGTAGGAGCTGAAGACTGATTTCATTTCTCATTTGCCTGGGGTGAAGCATTCTGGCTAACTAGTCTCCTTGATTTCTCTTCCCATATACAGCTTTATAAAGGTGTCTGTGAACTAGGCCACTGGGCTGAAAAATTCCTGACAGCTTACTTTGCCTATAAGGATGGTGATATAGATTCTTCTCTTGTTCAGTATGCACTACTTGCAGAAATGGGATATGAAGTGGCTCAAATGAATTCAGCATTCATTTTGGAATCTAGTAAGATAAGTTAAAATTCTCTGCAATCCCCCAATCATACATATGCATATATGACTTTACTACAGAGGCATTTTAAGCCTTCCTAACGGAATGTCTCCTTTTTTTAGAAAAGGCTAACATTCTTGAAAAAGAGAAGATGTATCCAATGGCGCTTCTACTATGGAATCGAGCTGCCATTCAAGGTATAGAACCCAAATAAAAATAAGTACATACCCGGTCCCTGTCCTCTGTTATTCATCAGGTTTGCTTTAGCTGCGTGTTTGTGCACATAGGCAGCAAGGAGCAGAATATCAAGTAGGTGACATTTCAAACTATACGGATGTTAGGGTCAGTCTTTGGTTAGAGATCATTTCCAGGAATTTATTTTCCCCATTATTATCAAGGTCCCTGGTTCAGCAAACCATAGGAATTTTTCTACGGCTCTGTCTCCATGGCACCAGAACAGTTCTTTGAAATATACAATTTTACTCAAGAAACCAGTTTCTTGGTCTGGCTTCATTCATTCATTGCTGAGATCTTGACTGAACTAATCAGAGATGTGACCCATGTCTCAATGAGTTTACAAGCAAAATTAGTTATGTATGTATCTAAGGCTCATGTGATTTCTCTATTAAAATATCACATTGATGACTACCATAAACTTCAGATCTTTACTACAATCATTAGCACATAAGAATGAAAAACCAAACCAAAACAAAACAGATACATGGCAGGATCCTCTCCCTTTTCCTCGAGTTTCCATGTCTCGCTTGCTGGCATCACATGAATAAGGAATATAAGATACCAGTGGTGGGAAAAGCTATGGCAGGTGGTATTTGCATTGCATTGCAATGTCTCTTACTATTTTTCCTCTAAAATTATATTATTAAAAGCAGAGAAATACTGCAAAGCTGTCACCATTGGCATTTGGATATGTGAAAACTCTCTTGCAATAAGAGAGCAATTTTGCTTCCAATTAGGTTTCTTAAAATTGTCTTATGCTAAGGCCAAATCAGCCCTTTTCACAGGAAGTGAATAGGATAAAAAATTATTCTCAGCTGACACTAATATGAAGCAGAGGAAAAAGTCACAGTGGTGCTTTCTCACATCCAGCTGAGCCGGTAGCACAGCAACAAGCCATCAAGGCAATTTTAGTGAGACATTCCCCTTAAAAAGTCTGTTTTATAAAATGCAATGAAGGCCTTATTTAGAGTGGGGAAACAATACCCGCAACCTCTCAGCCATGGCCAATCAGCTCAATTACAACAAATACAGGTTTATTCCAAGCCAGGAAATAGTGTGGAAATTGCAGCAAGGAAAAGAGACATTAAAAACAAGGGTACATTGATACATACATATTTTTTTCTTTTTAGACGGAGTCTTGCTCTGTCTCCAGGCTGGGGTGCAGTGGCACGATCTCGACTCACTGCACCCTCTGCCTCCCGGGTTCAAGCGATTCTCCTGCCTTGGCCTCCCAAGTAGCTGGGACTACAGGCATGCGCCACCACGCCCAGCTAATTTTTGTATTTTTAGTAGAGACGGGGTTTCGCCATGTTGACCAGGATAGTATTGATCTCTTGACCTCGTGATCCGCCTGCCTCGGCCTCCCAAAGTGCTTGGATTACAGGCGTCAGCCTGTACTGGCACCCAGCTGGTACACTGATATTAAACTGAATTTCTCAATATAAGAAAGTCGGACCGCTAAAAATAATCATGTGTCCTAAGAGAGGTCAGGCATAAGTGTCCCTGAAGATATGGTTACTGAGTGGCTCACTTGGGATTAGGAAATCTAATAACGAAATTTTCCAATTAGTCACTGGCCATACTCCTTTTAGCAGTTACTCATGTGAAGAGGGTGCTGAACCATCAGGACTCAGTCACTGCCCTGTGACTATGAAATTGAAGTGGAAATCCCTCCACTGTCAGTTGATCCCCACGGGAGCCTGTCCGGATCACCACATGCTGCCAGTCAGCCCCCTCATTAGGGTGGAGCTGAATTCCCCCAAGAACCAGCTTGTTCACTGCCTTCCATTCTTAGAGACTTCAGGGATGCTGCTTACTACCCGCACAACTTGAAAATGCACAGAATTGTCCTATCTCTTTGTGGTTATAGCCCAGGAGAAATCTTAGGGTCAAAGGAGGGCAGCTTTGGGCAAAATTAGAGATGGACTAGGTTTCTCTTTAGGGCTCCACGGACCTCCTGCTTCTCCAGACTCCCTCAGGCCTCTTTTCTGGGCATCATTCTTATAAGTTCTTGCTCCCAGTTACTGACCTGTACATTTGGAAGCATCTGGAAAGCAAGCCCAAATAACTAATGTCTTTGTCAGCTAAGAATTTTATAGACCAGGTGCAGTGGTTCACACCTGTAATCCCGGCACTTTGGGAGACCAAATTGGGAGAATTGTTTGAGGCCAATAGTTCAAGAACAGGCTGGGCAACATAGTGAGACATCATCTCTACAAAAAAATAAAAGATAAAAAAAAAATTAGCTGGGTGTGGTGGTGTGCACCTGTAGTTCCAGCTACTCAAGGGGCTGAGGCAGGAGGATCTCTTGAGCCCTGGAGATTGAGGCTGTGGTGAGCCGTGATCACATCACTGCACTCAAGCCTGGGCAACAGAGTGAGATTATGTCTCAATGATAATAATAATAATAATATAATAAATAAAAAAGAATTTTACAATGTTAGCTGTATTCAGAGAGACTTAAAGATGGTTCACGGTATTACATCTTTTTGAAGTGTCTACATTTTAACATAAGATTCTACAAGATTAGAATTTCAGTACCTAAAGGAATAAATTCCAAAGGATATTAGGCACTACATTAGGCCAAATGAGAAAATTTTGGAAGGAGTCCTATATCACTTAATGCTAGACCTGAGCCCATACAGGGCACTTCCCCTTTTTCTGAGTAAGCCAAGACCATGCCAGAAGGGCTGGCCATAGCTGAGATGGCCGTCCTAGATGAGTGTTCCCTCATCTTTCCAATCAACACTCTCCTGGTGGATGGGAACATAGACCCCAAGGGGACCCTGAGGGGTCATCCCTAAGTGGACTTCAAAAGACTGATAGATCTTAAAAAGTCACATGACTTTTTTCTACTTGACATATTCATGTTTTTTGGAAAGTAATATTCTAAAGTACTTAGTATCTGGGGAAAGTATTATCTAAAAAGTTTCCTTGCATGTCCATCCATTCATTCTATATGTATTTATCAAGTACCATTCCAGGTTCTGGGACTGTATCAGTGATTAAGAGTTCAAGGTGCTTGTCCTCATGAAGTGCCTGCCCTCATGCGGAAGAGAGAAAATAAACTAGTAAGCAAATCAGATAGCAGTGACATGCTGTGAAGGAAATAAAACATGGAGTTGACGTAGATAACTTCTGGGGTTGGGGCTGAGGGGAACTTTAGACAAGGTAATTGGAGACGGCCTCTAGGAGAGAAGTGGCATTGGCGCTTCTGAGAATGAAGAGAAGCCAGCCACAGGAAGAGTCAGAGAATTCCAAACCTGCCAGGTAGAGGGCCTTGAGGAATCAAATGCAGGGATCTTGTGCAGAGGGCAGGTGAGGCATGACTTGTAGGTCATAAGGAGTCTGATTATTATTCCAAGGGCAAAGTGAAGTCATTGGAAGATTTTACACAAGCAAATAACATAACTTGATTTTACATTTTAAAAAGATCATCCTCTAGCTAAACAGTATGAGGTTTCTCTTCAGAGTGATTGAACTATTCTAAAATTGTGGTAATGCTTGCACATCTCTGAATATATGAAAAACCATTTCGTTGTACCCTTTAAATGGGTAAATTGGATGGTATGTGAACTGTATCTCAATAAAACTGTTACATATATACTATATATAACATATACATGTATTTTACATATATATATATATATCATGCTGGCTAGGTGTGGTGGCTCACGCCTGTAATCCCAGCACTTTGGGAGGCTGAGTTGGAAGGATTGCTTGAGCCCAGGAGTTTGAGACAAGCCAGAGCAATATGGTGAATATGGGTATGGTGGTGCATGCCTGTAGTCCTAGTTACTTGGGAGGCTGGGATAGGAGGATCGCTTGAACTTGGGAGGCTGAGATTGCAGTAAGCTGAGATCATGCCATTGCACTACAGCCTATGTGACAAAGCCAGGCCTTGTCTCAAAAATAAATAAATAAAAATTAAAAAAAAAAAAAGATCACCCTGGCTGTTGTGTGAAGAACGGGTTGGAAAGTGAAGATAAAAGAAGAATTTGAAGCCTATTGTAGTATTGTAGGCTGGAATAGGCAGTGGAGGAGATATCAAGAGTTGAGCATGTTTCAGAGGCACAACCTGCAGGACTTGATGAATTGGCTGATGGAAGCAAGGGAAAAAGAACTAGGAATAATTCCCCTAGACTTATGGCCTGAACAATGGGGGCACTGTACTGAGACAGGGAAGAAACTATTTCATTTGGAGGAAGGTGTGTAGGGTGCTAGGAAATCTCTATTGGGCATTTTAAGTTTGAAATCCAAGTGCAGACATCAAGAAGGCAATCATAAGAACCTGGGCCTCGGGGAGAGAAAGATGGTGGATATAAATTTAGAAATAGTTAATAAAGACAGTCAATGGAACGAAACAAGGTCACCCAGAGAAAGAGTTGAGATGAAGCAGAATGTTGGAGAGAGGCAGGGAGGAGAGGCGAGAGAAGAGAAAAGAAGGGAAAGAAGAAAGAGAGAAAAAAAAAAAAGGAGTTAGGGGCAAGCCCTTGACATTCCACATTTAGGAACTGGGCAGAGGAGGAGTCAGGCAAGAGTTTGAAATAAAGAGCCCATGAGGTAGAAGGGAAACCAAGAGAAGGCAGTGCCATCAATGCTCCGACAGGACAGTGCTTGGGCAGATGGGGCCCATCAAGCCAGTGCTGCTTGGACGTCGGGTAAGATGAGGACAGAGATGTGGCAATGGATTTGGCTGTATGAAGGCCATCTACCACCTTCAAAATAGCAGCTTCACGGGCAACGGGGCAGAAGCCAGGTTGGAGTGGGTTGAAGAGTCTGTGGGAGGTGAAGCTTTGGAGACAGTGAGCATAGAACACACTTTTGAAAAGGTTCAGTGTAAAGGGAAACAGAGAAATGGGGCATGAGCTAGAAGGAGACACCACAGGATAAAGAGAGGGTTTATTTTTGTTCATAGAAGATGCTAGAGCGTGTTTGAATGGCGGATGGGATTGATCTGGGAAAGAAGGTGACAGTGGTGACGCAGGAGAGTAGAGCTTCAGGAGTGACATCTGAGAATGGGAGGGATGGGGTCCAGCTTCCCAAGAGTTAACCTACTTAAAAAAATTAAAAGATAAAATTGGTAATTTCTTGTTCTTTAAGAACATTTGGCCAGGTGCGGTGGCTCATGCCTGTAATCCCCGCACTTTGGGAGGCCAAGGCGGGCGGATCACCTGAAGTCAGAAGTTCAAGACCAGCCTGGCCAACATGGTGAAACTCCGTCTCTACTAAAAATACAAAAAAATTAGCTGGGCGTGGTGGTGGGGGCCTGTAATCCCAACTACTTGGGAGGCTGAGGCAGGTGAATCGCTTGAACCTGAGAGGCAGAAGTTGCAGAATGTGCCATTGCACTCCAGCCTGCCAGCCTGGGCGACAAGGATGAAACTATCTCAAAAAATAAAATAAAATAAAATTGTACTATACCATGGATGTTACACTATAATGAAGACAGCATTGAGTGTTATATTTGTAATGCATAAAGTATATCTAATTCCAGTTCTGGGGTTCTGAGTGTTTTGGTTCTTTTTTATACTTGGTTATAGATACATATATATTTTGAAGGACTGAAACAAGATTATTAGGTTGAATTCCTGAGAACTATACATAAATCATTTGAGTTATGATTCTTCTTTTTCTAATATTTCTATCAGGCAATGCATTTGCTAGAGTAAAAATTGGAGATTACCATTACTATGGCTACGGGACTAAGAAAGACTATCAAACAGCAGCCACACACTACAGCATTGCAGCCAACAAATACCACAACGCGCAAGCCATGTTCAATCTGGCTTATATGTATGAACATGGCTTAGGCATCGCAAAGGTAATTGTGTTGGTAATAATTCAAACCTAGTAATGACATCTGTGTGGGAAGAGAAAATGTGTAAATGTTTTGAATTTCATTGATGTCCTCAATGTGGAGGAAGGAAAGAAAGGACTTAACATCTGCCAAATCCCTCCCATGTGCCAATACATATTATTTACTCCAATATGAACCCTATGAGATAGAAGTTATTTTCTCCATTTATGCCAAAGACATAACTAGTGAGTAGAAGAGATCTAGTCTAGGCCAATTCAATTAATAAGTTCCTGCTTTTTCCAGCACATGCTTTTTCCAGTAGGCCCTGTCTCCATTTCCCTTCACCTCTGGGCCCTTTTTTCCATTAAAATTTCCACTGGTTCTCAAGCTCTCAGGAACAAGGAGAAAGCAAAAAGAGACCACAGCTGGATACCAAGGTGGTATTAATCCAGAAAAGTCTTATGAAGCACCTGCTGTGTACATGATCTAGTGCTGGATACTCTAGAAAGGCCCAAGAGAGTGAATCTCCAGTTCCCCAAGACTATACTTGACTTGAGGCAATGAGTCATATTTATTTAGAAAGAGAGCCAGCACTACAAGGTGGTATTGATAAATCTCTTAGATAGTGAGTGTAATTAAGGCAGAAGATGACATCAGGGTCTCACAGAGTGAGAAAGGTGTATTCAGTACCAATAATGATAGCAATAGCCAGGCATTGGGTTAAGTGGGCTATGTGTTTCTGTCATTTACATCACACAACCACTCAATGAGATAAGCCCGAGAACTATCCACAGTGTACGCATCAGGAAGCCACAGTGCAGAGAGGTTATGTCATTTGGCCAAGCAGCTTGCGGAGGTCATCAATGGTGCAGCCAGAATTTGAACCCAGCCCTGCCTGACCCTGTTTTTTGGTGAAAGAGTGGGCCTTGCAGTGAGTCATTCTTGGTGCTCAAGCATGTGTTTCTTTTCGGTGTTTATATTCCTGGCTCCATTTCTAGAGCCAAATAACGTGGGAATTGCTGGCTTTCCTATGCTCTCTTCTTTCTTCCAGTTGTGCTAGTAATTGAGAATTATTGGTAGGGAATTTCCTATTGCTAATGGTGCACAGTGAAGGGCTTCTTATTCAGAGGTATGGATCCCTGCCGTCCTGTCCTCCCCTGCAGCCTGCCTTTTGGTTGATCATTTTTCATTAGCCCTGGCACCCTAAGCAGTGGAATGTCAAATCCAAATCCAGTCTGTTTCCCCCATTTCTAGCAGGTGTAAGCTTCCTATGTTTGTAAAATGTGGGTAAGAATGGGACAGGATGGGATAGCTAAATTGGATGATTCTTAGGATTTTATTTAGCCATCCCTGGGTCCCTCACCCATTATCCACCTCAGTAAAACAGATACCTGCCCTACCCCAGACTTTAAGGATAAAATGAATAAGCTTTTGTGAAAGGGCTTTGTAGTCAAACAGTGTGTAGAATGACTGTTATTTAGATCAAAAGGGAATTAGAGCAACTGCTAAGTAAGGCTTCAATAAGATTAAAGCCTTTCTTTACTCATCATTCCTAGTGCAAAATATAATATGGGAGAAGCACTGTCTATAGAAGGGATGAAGTGACCCCACTCCATGTGTCAAATCCATGTTAGCTTTCCTATCCCCGGCACCACCATGTTATTCAAAAAGGACTTGGTCGCCCTGACAGCTGCATTCGCGCCTAAGCGAGGCCATTTTGCCTGAGTCCCTGGGGACAGGCAGGGTGTCCTCTCAGGACACAGAGCCAGCAATGCTGGGGAGAGCACACTGCGAGCCAGTGCCTGGCTGGCGGACCATCAGAGGGTTTGGTTTTTCTCTTTGGAGTCACCACTGATCTCTTTCCTAAGCACTTCCTTCGCAATGTCAAATAGTAGTTGTTAAGACATACGTTTCATACATTCAGGAAAACACTTTGAAGTTTCTCTCTGGCCAGTTTTCTGTTCTTTTCTGCCAGGGTTCTTGTTAAATAATGGATAGTTCATTTTGTTCAGTCTCTTTCAGTCAGAAGTCTATTTTATTTTCCTACAGAAAGTCTCTACATTAAAAACAACAACAAAAAAGCAGAGACTACTAGTAACCTCCCACCGGGATACGAGAATTTTAGGCTGAGCTAACGAGGGACCATTGCCCTTTGTTTTTATTTGGTTTCTTTTGTTTAGCAATTAGGAAAACAATAACTGAGTACCCAAAGGTATCTTGCCATCTCAGAGTCAAATTAACAAGGCGCTATCACCTTCTCTAATTCTTAAAATGAATATCCTGGTAATTAAAAGCCCAAAGCTTGTTCAAATGAAAGAAAAGAGAGTAGGAGAATACGCCTTCCTAGCAGTTAAGTCATCAAGTAATTAAGCATTTCTTCAGTGAGGCACTTCGCAATCCTCTTTATTAGTTAATCCTCATGCAAACCAGTGAGAAAGATGAGTATAATACCACTACTACAGTATCTTCGAGAATCAAAGAAGGTGATACAGAGTATTGCTTTATAAACATGCAGACATTTAAGACCTCTGGGGAAGAAAGTTAGATATAAATCATCTCTTGGTAAATCAATATCAAAATATGGGTCATTGTTGTTATCATCCATCTTTCAGAAAGGAAGTTGGGGCTAGGATGATGCAGGTGAGTTATCCTAGTAGCTTCACTGAGAAGCATCTCAGCCAGTGAGCTCATTGTCTTAAACTGGGCCAGGACTGACTGCATCATTGTTCTGGGAACACTGAATAATGCCTGGTAAGGAATTGGGAGAGGACCTGAAGTAGTTTAGAAACACAAGCATTCACACACACGTTGTTATGAAATTGCTTCTCAGGGGCTAGGCGTGGTGGCTCATACCTGTAATCCCAGCACATTCTGAGGCTGAGGTGGGCAGATCACCTGAGGTCAGGAGTTTGAGACCAGCCAGGCTAACATGGCGAAACCTTGTCTCTACTAAAAATACAAAAATTAGCTGGGCAAGGTAGCATGCGCCTATAATCCCAGCTACTTGGGAGGCTGAGGCACGGGAATAGCTTTAACCCCGAAGGCAGAGGGTGCAGTGAGCTAAGATCCAGCCTAGGTGACAGAGCGAGACTCCCTCTCAAAAAAATACCCAAAAAACAAACAGTTTTTCAATTACTTGATTTGTAAGTACTTTGGAAATTGCACCATGAACAAGGCCTGTTGCCCATCCCCTCCCGGCCATCCCTTCTGTCTGTACCTTGCCTCTGACCTTCTGCTCACCTCAGCTCGTAGCAACGACTACTCAGGGGTCTTCCATTCTAGTGTTCTCCCTTTAAATCTGTGACTGAGATGACTCTATTCACCAAAGATTTGCAATCCTCCATCCATAGTGAGGACTTGTAGCTGGGGTTCACCCGCCTAGTCAAAGACTATGTTCTCCAGCCTCCTTTGGATCCGCGTGCCAGCTCTTGCGAGGGCTCCTTTGGATCCGCGTGCCAGCTCTTGCGAGGGCTCCAGCCTCCTTTGGATCCCCGTGCTAGCTCTCGCCAGGGCTCCTTTGGATCCGTGTGCTAGCTCTCCCGAGGGCATGGAAGTGAAAGTGAAGAGTGTCATTCCTGGGCTAAGGCAGCCAAGAAGGAGATGGGGCTGCCCCCAGTCGCTTTCCCATCCATCGGCTGAAGGCACCAGGAGATACAAAGGCTTTAGGGGACCCCAAAACCAGGTAATGGAAGGAGCTTGGGCCCCACAATTACCATATGAAGAAAATTCACTACCAACCAGCAATATACATTTTGGAATGCTGAATGGGGAAGAAATAAACTTCTATTGTGTTAAGCCATTAAAATTTGGGGATTTGTTACAGATAGCATTATCTTAATAAATAATTCATCTAACAAAGCACTGCCAGGTCATTCTTGATAAAGTATAACTCTGATATTGTAACCTCCTTCATCCTAGCCACCCCTCTATCCTACCCTCTCCCCCAAATAAAACCACCAAAAAATACAAACAAGCAAACACAAATAAAAAGAATCTTATTTACTTTTTATTGCTAAATGAAGTCCAGACTTCTATTCCACATTCAAAGCCCCCAGTGACCTAGCCTACCTTGATAATAACAGTGTGATACAGCACTTTGCCCTATCTAGATTCTAGGCTACTTATTCCTTCCCCTCAAAGACCTTGGCCTGAGCCCTCCTGAGATACCATCCTTTTGCTGGAATGATCTTAACCCATATTTATGCCCATTGAAAACCAGTCCATTTTTCAAAGAACAGCCCCAATGTCATCTCCTTTAGGAATCCTTCAAGGAACCCCAGATTTTTTTTTTTTTTTTTTTTGACAGGGAGTCTCATTCTGTCACCAGGCTGGAGTGCAGTGGTGCAATCTTGGGTCACTGCAACCTCTGCCTCCCGCATTCAAGTGATTCTCCTACTGCAGCCTCCCCAGTAGCTGGGACTACAGGTGCGCACCACTATGCCCAGCTATTTTTTTTTTTTTTTTTGAGACGGAGTGTCGCTCTGTGACCCAGGCTGGAGTGCAGTGGCACGATCCTGGCTCACTGCAAACTCTGGCTCCCATGTTCATGCCATTCTCCTGCCTCAGCCTCCCGAGTAGCTGGGACTACAGGCGCCCACCACCACGCCCGACTAATTTTTTTGTATTTTTTTTTTAGTAGAGACGGGGTTTCACCATGTTAGGATGGTCTCGATCTCCTGACCTCGTGATCCGCCCGCCTCAACCTCCCAAAGTGCTGGGATTACAGGCGTGAGCCACCATGCCCGGCCAGAACCCCCAGATTTAAAAGGTATCTACTTCTAAACCACCATGGTATCGCACTCTGCTTTTCATTCATTCATTTATTCACTCGAATATTTATCAAGGACTATTTCCTATATCAGTAAGCCCTGTGCTTGGTTCTGGGGATACAATAAGAACAAGACAGCCTTCAAAGGGCTCATGGTCCACTACAGAAGAGACTTGTCCATAGCTACTGTTAAGCCTAAAATGGCAGTCATGTATAGGCACACACACACTTGAAAAGAATTAAAAATAAAGTACCACAAGTATGTTAAAGAGGTAACAGCTAACTCAGGGAGGGGAATAAGGACTGCCAGGTCCTGTTCAAAAGTATGTTTGTACCATGGAGTACGAGAAACACATGACAAGCTTTTTAAATGGAAGAAAGCAGGTCTGTTTAAAAACAATGGATAGGAAAGCTGTCCTAAGGTAAGACAGAAAGGTGGGGGAAATTATCCTTTGGGGAAGAGTTTCAAATACATATATGTAGAGCTACTAGATAACATGTATTTTTGGATTCTGCAGAGAAAACAAAATCACATCTACCAAATAAATTATAAATAGACCTGCCAAAACCAAAAGTGATTATGGCACAATGCATTTTTATTTCTCATTTGTCTGGTCTGACCACCCATGGAGTGTTACAGCTGAAGCTTTGAACACCAGAATTATTTTCTGGAAAGGATAAGTTAAAATTAGATATTTAAAATGGCCCTCTCAGAAATATGGCAGGACAGAAAACACACTTCTTAGAAATGATCATAACTTTTCATGAAATAAACATCTATCACCTAGGGAAATAACCAGAAATATACAAAAACAGTATTTTGTGTGTGTATAGCTTCATTAGTTACAGAACAAATTTCTACAAGTAACGAGAATGTTTCAAAATAGAAGCCATGTTATTGTGATGCCCAGGCTAGACGGGCATCATGGTGAAACCCTGTCTGTACAAAAAAAATATACAAAAATCAGCCGGGCATGGTGGCACACACCTGTAGTCCCTGTAATCCCAGCTACTCGGGAAGCCGAGGTGCGAGGAATGCTCAAGCCCCGGAGGCGGAGGCAGCAGTAAGCCAAGAGTCTGCTACCATACTCCAGACTGGGTGACATGGCGAGACCCTGTTTCAAAAAAAAAAAAAATTATAGACTAGCGGAATATATTAGGACACAGCATATTATTTGAAATATATTGTTAGGTTAAGAAAGCAGAAGAGGAAATATTATGCTGAGTAAAAAATTTCTAAATTAAAAAGTATGTATATATGAATATACATGAAATGCTAGAAGAATGTGTATAAAATATTACCAGTAGTTATCTCTGTGCAGTGAGATTGTGGGTGGCTTTTTTTCTTATTTGTTCAGTTCTATATTTCCCAATTCCCTCTAATTAACATATGGCATATTTATAAAAAGAAAATAAGAGTAAATTATTCTAAAACGACCTTCCCATTCACATGCTCTGTCCCAGTATAAGAAATTTTTTTTTGACATCCAAATATTTGGGGCTGGAAACTCCTGCATCGGGCAATTGTAAAATTTTCATAAACCAGCTACTTTACTGCAGGAGAATTCTGTATCTTTGAATTAAAAGAAGCTATTTTGAACATCTAAATATTGAGCAGTATCCACATATCATTTTAGTTAGAAACATGTTCTTTAACAAGAGTCTGCAGCTCGGTTTACATAATCTCTTTAATCACTGAATTTAAAGCAAAATAAACTCAAATGTACCACAGAAAAGTTAAATCTAAGTGGACTGGGTATGTAGTGGACTTCTCATTTAATGAACTGTGGTCATCATCAAAACACCATCAGGAGGAGATTTTTTTGTTTGCATGACTTAGATTTTTTTACTAAATAGGGTCAAAGAATGAGGAGTCTTTTCTAGTCTAGTACTAAAATTTCTTTTATATGAGTTGCCCTAGTTAGCTGGAAGCATTCAGGAATTTCCTTCTCTGGGAATTTTAAAGAAAGGCTTTCACATTCACCCCCCAGCCCCACACACACTGCAAATTGTGAGGTCTCCTGGACAAGGAGTGAGTTCATCCCACTTTAATGGTATTTCTCACTATTTTTTACTATAAAATACTCAGTGACTGGATTGTAATGCTTTTACCACAAGAAATAAATGAATAACTATCGACTGCCTCAAACAAGAAATAAGTATGAATGCCTGAGATATTGACAAAGGCTGCTTTTGCCTGAACGTCCCGTTCAAGTCAATATGTCTTTCACATGTGCGGCCGACCCAGCTGTTATCATCTGCAGGGTGCTTTCAAACGAACACTGAATTTATTGGAATCAGAGACACAAATTAGGGTTTTTACAACATCTATTTTATGTTTCCAGGAAGATTTGTTCCAATCTCCTGAACTGCGTTTTAAGCAAGAACATTCCTCTTTCTTCAACAAATCAATTTTCCAGACCATAAAGCTTTGGAAAATATTTAAGCTATAATAAGCAGAACACAGCTAAGAGAAGACATCAATCCCCCACCAAACAAAACAAAACAAAACAAAAAAAACAGTTTTAGCAGAGGCTTCAATGATTCACAAGTATCAAAGCCTAGGTTATGGAGCAAGAAAGACAGATATTAGGATGACCACAGTTTGTGAAAAATTCCTCTTCTTCTTCCTTTCCTTTTGAAAATAGCCCATGGGCACCCAAGCAAAATCTTATTCTGGAACTGGCCCAGGGTACTTTTTACCTTTAAAAGCAACTCCACCTTGCCTGTGGTCACTCTGTTTGGGCAAACCAAAAATAAAGCAAACACATAAAACAAGGCATGAGTAGATGAAAAAGAAAGCCATGGCATAATTCATGAAAAAAAAAAAAAAAAGCTCCTGAAAATACAGTACTATGCCATTTGAGGACTCTGTCTTCAACATGAGAGCCAAAAATAGTTTCTTCATCATCCTATAAGTATTATCAAAGACCTACTGCATACTAGTCCCTTCATTAAGGACTGGGAATTCGAGGATGAACAGAGAGTCCAAGTCCTTGTTTTTGAGGACCTGGAGACAAACAAATGAATAAATAAAGTCTAAAACTTTAGGTATGGTAAGTACTATGAAGATAATGAGAATTTTAGATGATGATCACTAACTACCTGTATTCTGACTTACTTTAGACAACTGTACGATTTTTTTTTTCTTTTGAGACAGAGTATCACTCTGTCATCCAGGCTAGAGTTCAGTGGCACGATCTTGGCTCACTGCAACCTCTGCCTCCCGGATTCAAGCGATTCTTGTGCCTTAGCCTCCCAAGTAACTGGGATTATAGGCATGCACCACCACACCTGACTACTGTTTGCATTTTTAGTAGGGACAGGATTTTACCATATTGGCCAGGCTGGTCTCGAACTCTTGGCCTCAAGTGATCCACCTGCCTTGGCCTCCCAAAGTGCTGGGACTATAGGCATGAACCCCTGTGCCTGGCCCTATTCTCCACCCTATTTGTTGGAATCACAACTAGGAGCTGTTACAGGGGTATCCAAGAAAGCTTTCTGGAGACTGTGTTAATTTTCTATGCTTGCCGTAACAAGTCACTACAAATTTGGGGACTTAAAACAACACAAGCTTATTATCTCATGGTTTCTGTAGGCCAAAAGCCCAGGTGATTTGACTGGGTCTTCAGTTTGGGGTTTCACGAGGCTAAAATCAAGAATGTTCTTTATTGGGGGCTCTGGGGAAGAATCCACTGCAGGGCTCATTCCGGTTGTTTGGTGGAATTCAGTTAATTGAGGTTGTAGGACCAAGGTTCTTGTTTCCTTATTGACTGTCCAAATTCCTTCTCATTCCATGTGGCCCCTTCCAACAATGGCAAGTTGAGTCCCTCATGCTGAGGATCTCTCTGAAGTCTCCCTCCACCACATCTACATCTGTCTTTCTTCTACCCCCAGCCCAGAGATAACTCTGTTTAAATGTTCACTTGATTATCTGAGGTCCACCTGGATAATCCATGATAATCTCCCTATCTTAAGTCCTGTACCCTTAATTACATTTGATATTTTGAACAGTGGTGTCTGTTTACTTACTCCTAGAGAATCTGATGGGTATGGGCTATTCTTCTCCTTCTAGAACATTCACTTGGCCAGAAGATTGTATGACATGGCTGCTCAAACGAGTCCAGATGCCTACATACCTGTGTTCTTTGCCCTTATGAAACTGGAAACTATGCATTTGCTCCGGGATATCCTGTTTTTTAATGTAAGTTTGTCTTGAACAAGTCCTGAATCTCTGAAAGTCTCCAATGCTCTGAAAGTCTCCAATGAGCAACTCCTAGGGACAACGTGACAAGGCCCATCGGGGAGCCTCTTGTGGACTGGCTTTCCTTTGAGAAGTCAAATTCAAAGTCTTACACTTGCCATACAGAGTAATTCTGTGTGTTCTATTGAGTATGTGTTGACACTTCACGGTATAAGCAATTAATTCATTCAGCAGATGTTCTTTTCCAGCACACACTACATTCAAAGCCTTAAGCACAGTGGCATGTGCTATATATACTTCTTCAAAACAGTTCTTACCATCAATAGCTGAGACTGGTAGGCAGATGGCAGGTGGCAAGGGGTACCACAAAGAGCTACCGTTTGAAAAAACGTAAAGTGTCTAAATCTTTGGGGTTATTCTAAAGGTGCTATTTACACCCCTTGTGGAAGCTGTAAGCAAGCAAAGATTGTGTTTTCCAAGACTGAAGGAAGCAAAGGGAATGGGTGGGAGGAGGGTTGGTGGCAGTGGGTTTGGGAAGAGTAGGTGGCTCTGAGTGGAGGTGGGAAGCTTGGATTGTTTTTGACAGAATGTCTCTTGCCAGCAGTTCACAATGAGATGGAACTGGCTGAAACCGGACAACACCGTTGGACCACACTGGGACTTATTTGTGATTGGCCTCATTGTTGCTGGGCTGATTTTGTTGCTTAGAAATCACCGTGGGTAGGATGAGGATCATGGGAAAACCTGCTAACGGGAACCAGTTCACTCCAAGGTATCCCCGCTAAATAAACAGTTTCCCATCCAAATCAAGAGTCTGCTACAGTTTTCCGCTCAGGGCTGTGATGGAAAATGGACAAGACTTGGGGACTATCCTGGAGAAACAACTTCAGACTTCCTGCTTAGTTGAGAAAACCCTTTGGGGGATGCTGGGAACTGGTCACCTAAGATCTTGTTACCAATCTGTCATCTTGGTGACCTAGTCCCACGTTACGAATAAAGACCACCCATTTTCATGTTGTTAGAACAACCTCCCCACTGTCAAGAGGATACACTGGGTTTCCTGACTCCTACAGACAAACTAAGGTGAAGAGAAGGCGGAGTTTGGGGAAGGCAGAAATCCAGATCCCTCAGAATATGATAAAGATACAAATGTACAAATAGACCTTGTACAATTTTGAGGCACAGTTTCCCTCTGTCCCCCGGCTGGAGTGCAGTGGCAAGATCTCAGCTCACTGGAACCTCTGCCTCCCGGGTTCAAGTGATTCTCCTGCCTAAGTCTCCCGAATAGCTGGGATTATAGGCGCCCACTTAATTTTTGTATTTTCAGTAGAGATGGGGTTTCACCATGTTGGCCAGTCTGGTCTCGAACTCCTGACCTCAAGTGATCCTCCAAAAGTTCTGGGATTACAGGCATGAGCCACCACACCCAGCCAATATTTGACTTCTTGAGCCTTAGTTTCCCGGTGTGCAAAAAGGGAAGGATAATGCCTATGTTAGACAACTGATATGAAGATGAAGTGGGATAATGGATGTAATGAGAGTGGCACAGGGCCTGGCACCTAGAATGAGTTCCATAATTGGGAACTTTTAATATCCTTTAAAAAACTCATAGCAAATCCATTGGAACGGGTGGGGAGACAGCTGAGTTGGTAACAATCTGTGTGGCTTCAGTGCTTTGCAGTTCTCCAGCTAATGTGCTAGGTGCTTAGGTAGGAAGAGATCTTGCTTGCTTACTTATAAATCCAATTTAGGGACATGAAAATTTAATTTCTAATGTCAATCATAATCAAAAGGTAGGATGAAATGGTGGGCATGCACTGAGTTTGGGATCAAACAGCTTGGATTTGAAGTCCAACTCTGTCCCTTAGTAGCTGTGTAACTTTGGGCATAACTTTTCCAAACCTCAGCTTTTCCTCCATAAAATGGGATTATTTCCTACCTCACCGAAGAATCGTGAAGCTTAAATAAACCTAACATCAAAAGTGCTTTCTAAACATAGCACACACACACACATACTGGCCACAGTCATTTATTTGGCCAGGAATGAATCCAGGCCTGTCTGAGGTCCAAGTGTTTTAGAGTTTGGGGGTCATGTCCCTGCCTTATCAGGGAGTTCCAGTTCCCAGGGATGCAGCCTAATTTATACAAATGTGCAGGAAGGGGCAGCATCTAAACCGCAGGTCAGGGCGTAATGGAGAGGGCAGCCGTGCTATGACATCTCACAGGTGTCAGGAATGTTAGCACATTAAGGACCTGGATGAGAACAGAGAGGGGAGCGCAGAAGGCAGCATTGGTGAGCCCTGCCTCAAAGTCTGGATGAAAATGAGCTCCTTAGAGGTAAACTTGTGGGAATGACTGCAGGCAGGAAAGAAAGAGAGACCTGTTCGGGGACTTGCTGTGTAGAGTAGAGCACTGCCTGAAATATAGGAGAGAGGGCAGCCTGAGTTGATGTTTCCCATTTCAGCTCATTGTTCCATGTCAATGTGAGACATGGAGCAAGCTTTGAAGGCAGGAGTGGTTTAGGGGGTTTCAATCATTCAAATGTCCATTTCTGGGCCTCTTCTCCTGGAGCCACCACGGTAGCAGTTCTCATCACCTCTGTGCATGGTTGGGCACCTTGCAGCCTCTGGGCATCTCTGAGATGACTGACAGAGGGAGGGAGAGAGCCTCCTGCCTGAAAACCACTGATGCTTCTCGGTTATAGCAAAATCCCACCCGCTCTATGGGCACACAGAGCCCTTCTTCATTTTCTTGCTTCTGATACCTTAAATAAAAATGGATAGCCTATGGACCACAAGGTATCTAGTTTTTTGTTTGTTTTGTTTTTGTTTTTTTGAGATGGGGTCTTTCTCTTTTACCCAGGCTGGAGTACAGTGTCACGATCTTGGCTCACTACAACCCCTGCCTCCCAGGTTTAAGCGATTCTGCTGCTTCAGCCTCCCAACTGTACGCCATCACACCCAGCAAATTTTTGTATTTTATTTTTGTTTATTTATTTTGAGATGGAGTCTCACCTGTCACCAGGTTGGAGTGCAGAGGCCCGGTCTTGGCTCACTGCAACCTCCACCTCCCAAGTTCAAGTGATTCTCCTGCTTCAGCCTCCCAAGTAACTGGGACTATAGGTGCGCACCACCACATCCAGCTTTTTTTTTTTTTTTTTTTTTTTTTGTATTTTCAGTAAAGACAGGGTTTCACCATGTTGCCCAGGGTGGTCTCGAACTCCTGACCTCCAATGATCTGCCCGCCTTGGCCTCCCAAAGTGCTGGGATTACAGACATGAGCCACTGCGCCTGGTCCAAGGTATCTGTTTTTTAAAAATCTAATTGTTGGCCGGATGTGGTAGCTCACACCTGTAATCTCAGCACTTTGGGAGGCTGAGGTGGGTGGATCACAAGGTCAAGAGATTGAGACCATCCTGGCCAACATAGTGAAACTCATATCTACTAAAAACACAAAAATTAACTGGGCGTGGTGGCACACGCCTATAATCCCAGCTACTCGGGAGGCTGAGGCAGGAGAATCACTTGAACCCAGGAGGCGGAGGTTGCAGTCAGCTGAGATTGCACCACTGCACTCCAGCCTGGTGACAGAGCTAGATTGGGTCTCAAAAAAAAAAAAAAAAAAAAAAAAAAAAAATTAATTCTCTTTTGTAACTGCCTTAATTTCCTCCCCTAATTATTCATTAAATTGGAGTAGCTCTTCAAGTAAATCCATTTTTTAAAAGTCAAGTTAGGAAAATAATTTTGTCTTTCTGGAGCAGGGGGGTCTAGAGTCATTTTCTCAGTAACATTCCCTTGGAATTCTTTTCTCCAAAATCTTGAGTGGTGGGGGTGCTGTAGTTTGCTGCATTCCCCTCACTGGGCATCCCAGAAAACCCTAGAGAAGAGGGCGTGGTGAGGCTGAGAGGAGAGGAAAGAAACATTTTGAAGCAGCTGCTATGAGCCAGGCTCTGTTTTCCATCTGTTTTCTCATTTCATCTTCATGATGAGGCTAGGAGGTAGCTAGAATGACCTCTATTTAACACAGGAGGAAACTGAGGCCAGAAGAAGCTAGAAAAGATCACACAGTTGATAAATAATGGAACTGGGATTTGAGTCCAGATCTAACACCACAGATGTTCTTTCCTCTATGTTACGGTTCCAGTTATTGCCTGCTTTTTAACAAACTTCTCCAAAATTAGTGCCTTAAAACAACAATCATTGCATTTTATCTCACGATTTTGTGGGTCAGGAATTTGGGCAGGGTGTGGTCAGGTGATTCTTCTGGTCACTTAGTAGATGGGCTGTTCTAGAATCCAAGACGGGTTTACTCACATCCCTGGCACTTTTGCTGGTCTCAGCTGTTACTGTTGACCAGTATACCCACGTGCCAGATGTGGCCTCTTGGCATGGTGGACAGAGCATTTGGGCCTTTTACACTGTAGCTCACCATTCCCACAGAGAATGTTCACAGAGACACAGGCAAAAGCCACAGGTTTGCTAAGACTAAGCCTCAGAAGTTCTAGAACATCTCTTCCACCCCGTTCCATCAGTCAAGTGTTACACTCCGTCTCTCAGTGGGAGTAGCAAAGAGTTTGCAGCCGTATTTAACCTACTATAAAGATACTGTTTAAAAATCTACCAATGGTCACATAAATTCCAGTACAAAAACTGGCAGAAGAAAAATGCAGCCCAAGCCTGAGCTGCCTATCTTGGAAAACAAGGATTAGACAGCCCAGTCAGACGCGTGCCTGGCCCTCTTCATCTTCCCACCTTTCAGACTGAAGAAATACAGATGTGTCCATCCTGGCTAACACGGTGAAACCCCGTCTCTACTAAAAAATACAAAAAACTAGCCGGGCGAGGTGGCGGGCGCCTGTAGTCCCTGCTACTCGGGAGGCTGAGGCAGGAGAATGGCGTGAACCTGGGAGGCAGAGCTTGCAGTGAGCTGAGATCTGGCCACTGCATTCCAGCCCGGGTGACAGAGTGAGACTCAGTCTCAAAAAAAAAATTAATTAATTAATTAATTAAAAAAAAAAAAAGAAATACAGATGTGTGATGGTAAGTGGAGGGTGGAAGAGATGTCCTCCTCTGTTCCTTAGCTAAACACGCACACCCCCTCACATTGGCCACTACACACACACACACTTAAATAATGCTCAGCTCTTTGCTTTGGCTCAAGTGACATGAGCCAAGAGATGCAGAGTCCCAGGATGGTTAGGACTCTCTGCCTGGGGCACCCTAGGTGCAGGCTCCACTCCTGTGTCTCAAGACTCATTCCTGACGTGCAGTGGGTGGGAGACACACCCCAGACCCTCTCCACCACCTCCCATCCTCATTCAATTTCCCTTCCTGAATCCACAGTCCCCATAAGCCCAGCTCCTCTGCCTCAACTCCTGGCTAAGGTCCCCCTGAGGGGATATGACCTTCAGCATGGGCTGCTATCAGCCATCCTCTGCCCTAGGGTTCTGCTGCTGGATAGAGGGACACAGGAAATTGTGCATCCTTGGACTGGAGAGAGAAAGCAGCCCTCACTATGGACCAGCCTCTAGACGGGAATGTATCAAATAAATAAATTGAACTTCTCTTGCACTATGATAGTCAATCTTATGCTCATGTATTCCCTAAGCCTTATTATGCACAAAGAGCATCTACTTCTTGCTAGTTTTTTTTTTTTTTTTCTTTAGAGATGGGGTTTCACTATGTGGCCCAGGTTGGACTGGAATTCCTGTGTTCAAGTGACTCTCCTGCCTCAGCCTCCTGAGTAGCTGAAACTACAGGCACACACCAGTGTGTCCAGCTCTCTGCTTTGGGTTTTAATATCAAAGCTGCCCTCTTAATAGTTTAGTTTTGGGTGGCGCTGGGCTCGGTATTAAAGTGTGGGAAAAACCCTTCCAAACCATCCTGCTAGTCAGGTAGTTACTGACTGGAGACTCATGGTCTAGAAAATTCATGGTTTTTAAATTTTCAAATTTTAATTTTACATTGCATTTTACCCTCTCTTAGAGTAAATGATTAGAAAACCCAGAACTCCCACTGTTAAAAATAAACCTTCACAAATT